ATTCAATTTCACAGGTTCACATCATGACCGACCAGAACCCTCTCCAGGTCGCCGTTGACGCCATTGTCAACTGCGGTCCCCGTGAGGACTCCACCCGTATCGGTTCCCAGGGTACCGTCCGTCGCCAGGGTATGTGATGAAAAAAAAGTCTTATCTCGCCACCTCTGATATCAAATACTAACTCCCTACTAGCCGTCGATGTGTCTCCCCTCCGTCGCGTGAACCAGTCCATCTCTCTGCTCACCATCGGTGCCCGCGAGGCCTCTTTCCGCAACATCAAGAGCATTGCTGAGTGCCTTGCTGAGGAGCTGATCAACGCCGCCAAGGGTTCTTCCAACTCCTACGCTATCAAGAAGAAGGATGAGCTCGAGCGTGTTGCCAAGAGCAACCGGTAAAGGGGTTGTGTTGGATTTGTTCTCCGTTTGGTCCTCTGTTTGCGTATACTGGAGTGGACGGGGTTTTAACCGGGATTCAGTGGATTCGCATGCATCTGCAAGGCTGTACATAATGTGATACAGTCAAGGAGGAAGCACGATCTTAAAAGGGAACGCATTCGGACGGCTTTCTTTGTAGTTGTGATGCGATCATGAAGACCTTGGGTCGTAAAGAGACCCATTTCCTAAAAAGAAAAAATTTCTTTTATTCTCGTTTTTGAACGGATCTGGCAATATAGATTGTAGAATAATACATGATCCAAATGATCCAAATGATCAAATGTCAAATATCTTAATGTTTACACCTTTTGATATTTGATAGTTCTAGCCAAATCAGATATTGCCAAGGTTGAGATTTTCCATCGCTTATCGATACGGAGAATACGGAGAAAAAAAAGTTTCGGACCTCCAACATACCTTTTCCCAACCACCACAATCTTATTTCCAACTTCAAAATGGTGAAAAGAAAGCTTGGAGCCTTGGAAAAGGTCGAGGCTGATCTGTATGTCTATCTTGTCTGAACCGATGCGCCCATGATCAATCAATCAGAGCCTTCAGTCCGTGATGCTAACGTATTTTCTTTGCGATTCGCAGGCCCAATTTGCAGCACAAGATCCGCAGGGATCCTAAGTAAGTTATAAGCAGAGATTTCTTATGATATATTGCGCTCGATCGGGAACTAATTGTCACTTTCCGTTATCCAGGTCTTATATTGAAGATTTCCGCGCCCAACACTACCAATATGAATCCCATCGTGAGATTTTCATGGCGGCGCCCTCATCCGCTACGGATACCGGTGTGATCTCTCTTCGGGATCTGATTGACTTCATTTCCCATGTGGCGGACTGTTACCCAGGGATCTGTAAGGATTTCCCCCAACAGCTCATTGACATGCTCATGCAGCACCACCTGGTGTTGGAGACAGAGTTGCGGGAGAAGCTGGTTGGAAGTTTGGTGCTCTTGAAGAAGAAGGACCTTATGGACTCAGCAACGTACGCAGACACCCTCTCATTACTTCCATACCATTCATTCTAACCACTACTCCAGGCTCCTCCACACTCTTTTCCCCATCCTCATTTCTACACCTAGCAAGACCTTGCGTGCTCTGCTCTTCCAGAAGATCCTCTCTGAGCTGCGAACCGCAAATGCAAAGACCACTAACCACAAGCTGAACCGAACTATGCAAACCGTTCTATTCAACTTGGTCACATCGGACCGCACATCGGCTAAAGGCCTGTGGGCGATTAAGATCACCAGAGAGCTATGGAAGCGCCAGATCTGGACCGAGGCCAAAGCCGTTGAGATCATGAAGGAGGCCGCTTTGTCACAAAACGAAAAGGTCATCATCGGTGGAGTCCGTTTCTTCCTCGGTGGTGATAAGGAGCGTGAGGAATTGGAGGACGAAGACAGTGAGGAAGAGGTCAATGTTGGCCAGGTTAAGCACCAACTTACCATCAACAAGAAGACCAGAAAGAAGGCCCGTGTCGCCGAAAAGGCCATCAAAGCGGTCAGGAACAAGGAGCGCAAGAAGGGAAATCCTGCTCCCCTCAACTTCTCCGCGCTTCATTTGCTCCACGATCCCCAGGGATTCGCGGATAACATGTTCTTCAAGCACCTCCAGAACGGCAAGTCTAAGTTGAAGCTGGAGCAAAAGCTCCAAGTCCTACAGCTGGTCTCCCGCCTGGTCGGCTTGCACAAGTTGCACATTATGCCGCTCTACTCTTACTTCCAAAAGTTCCTTACCCCCCGCCAACCTTCCGTGACTTCGTTCCTGGCATCCCTGGCCCAAGCCTCCCACGACTTGGTGCCCCCTGATGTTCTTGAGCCTCTGGTTCAGAAAATTGCAAATGAGTTCGTGTCCGAAGCATCTGCCGGTGAAGTTGCGACAGCCGGTCTGAATGCCATCCGTGAAATTTGTGCCAGACAGCCTTTGGCTATTGAAGAAACTCTCCTGCAGGATCTTGTCATGTACAAGAAGAGTAAGGATAAGGGTGTCATGATGGCCTCCAAGGGTCTCCTCAGTCTTTACCGTGATGTTGGTGCGCAGATGTTGAAGAAGCGTGATCGTGGCAAGGAGGCCGCAATGAGTCTGCGCGCTGGTGACAGACAAGAGAGACGTTACGGTGAGCAGGCGGCTGGTGAAATCGAGGGCCTGGAACTCTTGGCCAAGTGGAAAGACGAGGAGCGTCGCAAGAAGAACATCGAGAACGGTCTTCCATCTGATGCCGAAGATAACGAAGAGGAGAATGATGAAGCCGACTGGGCAGCCTGGAACGTCGAAGATGACGAGGACAGTGATATTGATGGAGAATGGATCAATGTGGAGGAAGATGTTGACATTGTACTGAGCGACTCCGAGGATGAAGGCAAGCCGGCATCAAAGAAGGCCAAACAGGAAGACGAGGCCAAGAAGGACACCGAAAAAGAAGCCGAAGCCGAGAAAGCCATTGATTTCATGAAACTGGCCACCACCCGCATTCTCACGCCTGCCGATCTCGCCAAGCTTACAGAGCTTCGCGCCCAGGCAGCAGCCGATGCCACTCTTCCGGGTAACAAGGGCCGTGTTGCTGCCCCATGGACCTCCCGCCATACCGATGACCCATTGACCGCCAACGAGATCGAGGGTCTTGCTGCCCTATCTGCCGCCAAGGCTACTCGTGAGGAACGTATTGCCCACGCCAAGGAGGGCAAGACCGACCGCTCTGATCATATGAGCAAGGAGGCTCGTCGCAAGGAACGCAAGGAGGAGCAAGGAAAGAGTACCACCAACAAGGAGAAGGCGCGCAAGAAGAACTTCCTCATGACGCTGGGCAAGGCGCGCAGCAAGAACAAGAGAAGTTTGGTGGAGACCCGTGCTGTGCTTCGGGCTCACGTCGATCGTGGCAAGAGAGGTGGACGCAGAGGAAACGTTGGCCAGTAATTGGCCTTTTTATGTCCTTTTTTAAAAATAATGATTTGTTATATACAGCACATTACTTTTGTCATTTCAGGCTCGCAGGATAGACTATTAAAGAGCATATACTACCCTCATGACAGCCCATGGTTTTACTGCATTCGCATCCTATCAGTAATTATAAAAGGATTTCCTGCATACTTAGAAAGATAAACGTATAAATGAAGTCCACCAATTAAATGTACTCGATTGGTTCTAAGACGCGATATGAGTGGGGGTAATATACGTTGATCAACGCGTACCGCGTTAAGTGGCGTCCCGTTGCCTGAGCAGCCTCCATTTTGCATTTTCCCTTTTTTCTTCCCCCTCGACACTACACTACGTCACTCCCTCGTGGGCATTTTGAATACTACTCTACGATCTGAAATCTCATACCTATTTTTATCGTTCAAAGACATATTCCCCGTGTCCCAAACCCCTTTTCCAAAATGCCACCCAGCACCGCCGACTTGTCGAAGCGCCGCCGCTTCCAACCCCCCATTACAACGTTCTTCACATCTGCCACAGAACCAGTGTCTTCAGCCACACCTGTTGTGTCGCATCACCATCATTACGCAGCAGAAACCTTCTCTGCCCACCCCGTCGTGCCTGCCAAAGTTCAGTCCTCACTTCTGTCCGTCGGAATGCGGGTCCGGAAATCTGTCGCAGACGGATATAGAACCCACATGTCCAAGACAGAAGAAAAGGCCCCACTCCCTACAGCTGTTGCTCAGATCCCTCGCGCTCAACCCTACCATGGTAGTAGACCCTTTGAGCTGTCACCGTACTCTGGCACTGGTAAATCCTCCTTCAGCCACGATGACTACCTCGTCACCGACGACGGCGATGCATACTCGATCCCTCCAAGCAGCCAAGACTCGACTGTGTCACTTCCCTTGGGCGGTCAGAAGCGGGCTTTGGAATTAGATGGTGATATTCTCGTCGATGAGGATGTTGATGAATCTTCCGACAATTTCGGCGCATCCTGGCGGGAGAACTCATATGGACGAACCATCCTGTCCCCTAATTTGGGACAGAGTCGTCGTATTCTTGCTGTGAGTCACAGTAAGATTGAACAGCCCACTATGGACATGGATGATTTTGAGGAAGCTACATTCCTCCGCCGCCGCGAGGAAGTTGATGCAGAGGATGTGCGGATGTACGGTGCTTGAACTGTTCGTTCTTGCTTTTCGTTTCCCTTGCTTTGCGATCCACTGCATATCTTCTTGATTGTCCTTGGATCTAGACTCGGCTCGATCTCTTTTTCCAGACTTTTATTATACCCACTGTTGTTCTATCTTGTACATATTATCTTGTATCATTATCTTTTTCCATCTGCAGAGCAGTGAATGTTATTTATTACGTTTATTATCTGGTCCTTCTAGATTCTAGTAATTAGGCTTGTAGTTAACTTCAGGGTTTACTCCAACAGAAAGTAGATGCCATGCTCGCACCTGAAAAATAATCAGTGTAATTAATATCAGCCAGTATAGATCCACACTCAGACTAAGACTGAAATTAATAATACAAAAAAATAAAGCAACCAGCCAATGAGACACATTTTATAAATAAAGCAACAGCGTGTATCCCTACGTCCCGATATATAGTCCCATGTTCAACGTTATATGCCCAAATCACCAACCTAGCAATCTTGCCCAGTATACTCGAATCTTCCAAAATCGCGGAAGTCGGAGCGGAGGATTTTCTGATAGTACCAAAACATTCTTCTTTTTGCGAGGATGATAATTATCATTGTTGACAACGGTAATGGCATCCTTTAAGGTAGCACCGAAATTAGCATCAACGTCGTCGAACTGTCCCAACTCAATATCTGGATCTTCTTGCATGTCCTGCATATCTTGCTTGAGCGAGTCCTGATTAATTCGATATCGAACGAGAGGAGTTAACCAGGAGTCACCGGAGGCCATGGGATCGAGCGTATAGGTGTTTAAGATATTTTAAATGCTAAGATAGAGAAAACAGGTACGGAGTGTTAGGCTACATATATAAGCATTCGTATTTACATCGGTAAATGCACTAGTAGCAAATTGCCTTTCCCCTTCCGATTAATTGCCGCTTTTGGCCACGGGGTAGTGAAGTATATTATATGGCCCACGGTTTATATACAGCACTTTTCATTCCAAGGACAGTTACATGTAGTTAATTGCCCACATATGTAGCTGTATGTACCGGAGTATAGCCACGACTTACCCGACTGGGATACCTCCATTTTATAAGAGCCGGGCTCAGGCTGGCTTTGCCCGAGAATAAAGATTCAAAGATAATTAATCACCATGAAAATGCGGGGCAGTCTGGACAGACAGTTTTCAAAGTTGGACCAGATCAAATCAGCCTAACTCGAACTATAAGCGGCCCCGTCGGCCCCGTCGGCCCCAGTGCGCCTTCGGGAGATGATCGCGGGAATTGGTTCTTCATAAATCTTCTGTAGAAGGTGTTTGGAAAGCCTCTTGTAGATAATATAGATGTACTCTATCTAGCATCTAGGTAACTCAAAAGACGTCTGGAATAGATTAATGCAAGTGTTTGAAACAGTTATTCCCGCTTCCTACTCATCGTAATCGATTTCTGTTTGAATTCTTGCCGCTTAACTACAACAAATGATAGAATATAATAATAAAAATTCCTTTCTCTTATTTCAGTACGAATCTGCATTGTCTCCTCGAAGTCACACACTATTAAATAGCACCGGACCTGTACAACTAGCCTGAACACCATATCTGAGATGTCGAGCCGACGGGGAATGCATCCATACATTTGGCGTTTGTATAACTAAGCGGAGGTTGCAGAGCCGTTCTCCGACCCGAAGGCATCTTATATAAATCGTTCATTAGTTGTGGTTTAAAACTTCTTTTTATTGACCAGAAAGGTTTTTGATTCCCTTTACATCATGAGTAACTCCAGTGAACATGTCCAGCGAACTATCCAGGAGCTGGAGAAAGCCAAACGTTTGGGCACCTTTGTCCAAGGTATGGAATTTCCAGATTGGGAGTACAGAATGAGATTCCGTACAAGTCATAGTACTCTAATGAAAGATACGTGTAACAGCCAATCACCCCATTCTCCACGGATTGCCTCCGCCGTCGGAGTCAACAACCCAGCGTGATGGTATGCTTATCCATACCGACGTGATTATACCAACACGAGATGGCACGAAATTGCGTGGTAATATCTTCCGTCCGGCCACCCAGTCTTCTGAAAAGCTGCCAGTGATTTTGAATTACAGCGTTTATGGCAAGGATGGGGCCTTGGAGCCTTGTATCTTCCCCAAGGGTAGCCGCTTGGACAATGGTCGCTATACTTCGTACTATATCTTTGAAGCGTGTGATGCACCCTGGTGGACCGAGCGGGGATATATTGTTGCCTATGTGGACGCGCGTGGCTCATTCCAGTCCGAGGGAGATAAGAGCTATTACTCGCGAGATGTTGGGTTAGATGGTGAGAATCCCGCTGAGCACTATATGCGGCTTTCACACTGCTGACAGGAGGCTTTCCCCCTCACTATTTAGGATACGATATTGTTGAGTGGCTTGCTGCTCAGGAATGGGCAAATGGAAAAGTTGGAATGTATGGTGCTAGTGCCTTTGCTATGATTCAATGGCTAGTCGCGGCAGAGCGGCCACCCTCACTTGCGGTAAGACAAGACTCCTTGACTTCGGTGTCTCTAGAAACTCATTCGGATTTAGGCAATTCTACTCTTCGATGATATGACGGATTTATACCGGGAGATGGGTCGCAAGGGTGGAATCCCCGAGACCCAGTTCATGTCTCAGTATGTTGCCTTCATCCTCTGATCTTTTTTCCTTCTAAATTTTTGATACTCATGATTTTACGCTATATTAGATACCCGTACCAATTTAATTGGGGAAGAAGCCTTGTTGAAGACGCTTCCAAGGCACATTATGAACACCCTTATTTTGACGAATATTGGGAAAGCAAAATCCCGCGGGTCGAAGAGATCCAATGCCCTGCTTATATCGTTTGTGGCTGGGGAGACCACGCCATCCACACTCGTGGCACATTGAATGGATGGAGGAGAATCGGTTCTGCTAACAAATATCTAGAGATCCATTGTTACCAAAAGTATGCTCTCCCCTTACTCAGTGTCTTGTGTCGCCGAGCTGGATTGCTAATTGGCTATGTAGATGGGAGTACACCCTCACCGAGGAATCTCTGATGAGACAGAAGGCCTTCTTCGACACATACTTACTAGAAAAGGAAACCGAAGTCAAGTTTTGGCCTCCAGTTCGATGGACAATGCGAGAGAGCTTCTATAACGCCGAGTGGCGCTATGCTCCCACTTTCCCATTCCCTGGAACGGCGTATGAAAAGCTCTATCCCACCCCATCTGGTGGTCTATCCCACATTCCTCAATTGACCGAGAGTCGGGTCTCATACGACGCCCAAGCTGGGGAAGTCACCTTTGAGATCCCTTTCTCGGAGTCCTACGAATTCGCCGGCCACGCGAAACTGCGGCTATGGGTGGAGGCAGAAGGCGCGGACAATATGGATATCTTTATCGTTTTGAAGAAACTGGATGAGAACGGGAACGAGGTGCACTTCCCATGGCTCACCATCATTGAGGATGGACCCGTCGCGTTCGGGTACCTCCGTGCCTCACGTCGAGAAGTCGACGAGATCAAATCAACCGATTTCCAGCCCTACCACAGCCATCAAAGGGATCTGTTGCTGGAGCCAAAGCAGATTGTTCCAGTCGACATCGAGATCTTGCCCACGGCCTGCCGGTTCCGGCCTGGTGAGACTTTGCAGGTTCACATCTCCGGCCATGATTATGGGAATTACCCGACCGCCGTCACCATCGCTCGACACAGCGACACTGCAAATAAGGGCACTCATATTATCCACTTTGGTGGCAAGTATGATAGTTTCTTGCAGTTGCCTCGCATACCACCACTCCCTGGCGCCGCGATGAGTCGTAGCAGACCAGTTAAAATGACACTAATCTCGAATCGCATTACCGGGTGGTCAAACGAGAAATTCCTGGAGGAGTTTACTCAGGTTCATGGCGGCATGACCGAGAAACTCTCCCATGTCGTCCCATTCCTGCGTTCTTATACGCAAGTTGTTGGTGTTCCTCGATTGCCTCTCACAACATTCTCCACCAACCACGCGGCTTTCGAGGTTGCCGCCGTGCTTGCCTGGTCTAGTCTAGCCAAGCTGGCGGGCTCCTTCAAGCATCCGGCCTACAAAGCGAGTGCCGGAAGTCACATCTTCACCGACCCCGTCTTTATGGGGTCGCTCAGCCAAGAGGTGCAGGAGATCATTTATGATCCAGTTACCTACAAACGTCGCCAAGATGCGATTGAGGTGGTCGTATTCCTCGCAAGAAACTCCGGTGTCGAAGCCGTCTCTGATGCTGATTTGGAGGCTCGAAGTAACACCGTGAGAAATGTCGGCCAAGGGACTGGACTGCTTCGTTACGTTCTGAATCGGGACGTCACCCCTCAAGATTACAACCTGCTCTTCAAGGATACCCCGTTCATTATTGGCAGCTGGGGTAGTATTGGAGCCATGGAACAGTATTGGTTCACGGACAAGAAAGCCGCAGTGGAATTCTTTGCTGATTCTGCCCGGAACAAAGTCTTACAGCAGCTCCCTAGCTCCTTCGACCCAAAAAACACTTGGAGTGTTGCCGGTAAAGAGAATCGCGTCTTCTCAAAGGACTTGCACTTTTGAGGAAGCTCATTAGCCTGGCCCCATGTTCCTCATGGAGAAGCGTCGCTTCTCGAATTGAAATTACACTTGAAGTGAAATGAATGAGGGATTGTCTGATAATGAATTTCCTTTTCTTGAATCTTGTATTTACATACAACTCTCCTATCAATTGTTTTCGTATGGCAAACCAGCCTCTCTCCGGATTGCTCCGTACATAGCCGTGATGTCCCCTCCCATGGTGTACTCTTCAACTTCTCTTAGGTAATGCTCAGCGAGTTCTACACTCTTCATGCTCACTTCAACGCTCTGAGCAATATCTAATACATGACGAGCATCCTTACGCGCCAGATTTGCCGCAAAAAGGGGGTCCTTTTTCCGGTGGTACTCACCCGATTTCATGCGCATAGCATAAGCTGGCAACACTCCAGGGAGCATAAGCTCGAGCCATTGTATCAGCGGATCAACGCCAACGCCTGACTTCTCAGCCAAAACCATCCCCTCCCCCAATTTCTCCACAAAACTCAGAACAAATGAATTACCAAGTAGTTTCATTTTGGATGCTTGGCCAACGTCCTCGCCGATGAATTCAATATTGGCTCGCCCCATCACACCTGTGGTGTACGGCTTCACTCTTTGGATATTCTCCTGGGTTCCGGCAAGCACACAAATCAGTTGTCCTGAACCTGCGAAAGATGGTGGCCCGAAAACAGGGCACGCAACAAATGATGCCCCATGTGCGCCGAACATGTCCCTGGCTTTGCGGGCAGTATCTGGATGAATGGTGGAACAATCAACGAAAAGCTTGCCGGCAATCGGACCACTTTCCGTTGATGCTAAGGCGATATTTTCGACGGCAGCGTCATCACTGAGACATGTGAAAATTAGATCTGCGGATTGGACGGCTTCGGCAACAGTGCTGGCCACTTGGCAGCCGTTGCTGTTCAAGGAGTCCACAAATTCATGGGCTCGAGTAATGGTCCTATTGTAGGCCAGAAGGGGTGGGAAATATGGTGACTTCTGAATGATGTTCTTGCACATCCCCTAAAATTCGTTCTCGTTAATAACACTTTGCGTCAATCCTCGTTTCAGATTACCTACACGACCCATATTTCCCAATCCGATCCAGGCAAGTTTTGCTGGCACCATTGCTTCATTTTCCCCTTTCGGAGATGGGAGGTCTGCGGAATTGACACTTGCGTTTAGAGAAGAGCCGCTAATTAGGGGGAGAAGGAGAAGAAGCCGTTTTATAATCGGTCAATATGTGTTGAACATAGGGCTTTCGAATTTGCTATGACTTATATTTATTTGGCCCTACAAAAAGTCAAATGTGACTCACATATCGTCTAAAAGCTGTAGAGCAATAAAATCAGTGGATCTGATATCTGATTTGTGATGGTATTAGCAGGGCCGACGGGGTAGTGTGGAGTAGCCGACGGGGAAAGAAAAAAGAGTAATATATCGGATATATCGGCCTCAAGAGCACTGTAAATAACACGATAAGGGACTACTTGTGCCTATTGCTGTAGGACCGGCTCTTGTCTATATACACTGGCGTCTTTCTTGTTTTGAAAGCCGCTATGGTTCGAGTGAAACCCACACCGGCCTACCATTCATTGCCAATGGTGTCGACTTGATGGTCAGAACTTCGATCACTAGCAAGATTCTCCATATGGACTACTGCCGCGTTAAAGCCGACTTTGAGTCTCATTCGTCTAATACTGGGGTTGAAGCAAGAAATAGCGCGTCAAATATCACATTCAACCAGGAAGTGGACTTCCCCATCGAAAAAGCCCGTCTTCGACTTGTCCCCAATTTTAGTTGCCCACAATGTCTTGAACTTCTTCTCTTTGGCTGGTCCATTCAGTACTCCCATCGCATTCATTACGATGTCCCTATTGTTTCCACTTGCACTACTGGATGGACTGCTATCTCTACGCAATCGGTCACCATGAGGTACCTTGTCGACATTCTCCCTAGTAGTCTCCCAAGACCACATTGTTTGCGATTCGTGAAGTGACATTTATGATCTTATGGATCGACTCTTAATGCCTTCTATGTAGGTAACTAAAGAAGGCTTCGGTTCTTTTCTAAATTTTTGCTTGCTTTTCTATTTTTTGGGTAGAATCAGCCAAGACCAAAGTCGCAGTTTGTTTCGTCATCCATCATCGCCCGCACTTTTCGATCTTCAACCTTTCACTTTGATTTGATTTGATTTCCGGCTCCCCTGCTCCCACAACCATTGTCAAAATGGACTCTGGAACTCGTGAGCCCCATAGTTTTCTCAAACGCTTGTCCCGGCAACTCAAAGCCTTTGAATCCAACTATCCTTCCTATGATGACCTCCAGAGGTTTGGAATCCAAGTATCCCAAGTCGCGACGGTGAACGACGAAAAAATCCTATTCGACCCATGCTTTTTCCATCCACACCCAGACAGACTCCTCCAGAAGTATCCAGTCAGCCTCAGTCCCGAAGAAAATGAGAAACCACCCAGAATGAGACTAGTTCCAACTTTGGATGAAATTTTAGAAGATTGCCAAGAGGAGTATTCGGACCCAGAAGAAGTACAGGAAGCGGTGGAGGCTCAAATAGAGGCACTTGAAAACTTACAATATCACGAGGACTGGTACATGCAAGGCCTATCGATACACGAGTATATGGGCTGGCAGCTTCAGGTGTCCAGAAATATTCAACCAGGGATACGTTGCCTTTGGGACCTCGGAGACCAGGAATTTTTCTAGTAAGTATGCAGCAGAATATTTTGTTGGTTCTCCAGTACTCACCATTTCCAGACCACCTTACAAACAAGGAGATCCTGGGCTATGCTCTATTCAGCCTAAATACTGGCAGGTAAAGCACGCTTTACGATACAGCAGTGCTAGGGGCCCTCTCAGGCCCCATACGATCATGTCATGCATCGCGGACGTTGCCGTCAATGATACAGACCAGGGACCTACTACCCACGAGTTAGGAGCAATAATAAATATGATGCTCACTCGAGTGAACCACAGACCCTTTCACAACTGCGACATTCATCCGGTACGTTGTGATATGTTGTACTGCAGCTTACATAGGGAATCATGCTTAACTGACATCCTCTTATTATAGATCCTGGTTCTCTCTTTCTTGGGTCCACAGAAGGGGAGAATTATTCAAGCCGTGTACGACGGTGAAAGTCTCGCCTTGCAACATTCACAACTATGGACTTTTGAGGAAACACAGACAGCACCTGTAGAGATGTTCATTCGGTACTACTTAAGCCAACCAGTTGGCTTGGAGATATCTACTCTCAGTGTTAGATAGTCGTCCATTTTCATCCTCACTGAAATCCAAGCTCGTTTCTTTTTCACTATGAGATTATACGTATATGACATAAATAAGCCCCCGAGTACCTATGTAGGTAGATATTTATTCTATGAAGGCAGGAGTTATTAGTAACTATTTCCAGGGAGAGCATTAGATACAATTTGGGGGTTGTTTGTATGGAAGAGTACATGGAAGTAAAAAGAAAGTAGAAGAAGAAGTTGCAGGGGAGTCAAAGGAAAGAGCCCGGTTGGATGTGCCTCCTTCTATTCTCTCCTGGCTATCTAACACTCCCCTTTTGCTAACTCCATATATATCTATTTCATCAAAGACCTCTAAAGATCTCCAAAGAGCGGTATTTCTCAAAATGACACCCACAGAAAACTTATGCAACTCTGCCGTCTTGGTGACCCCGATGAGCCAGCGTGAAAATGTTCATTCGGCATCCAAGATGACTAAAGAACGACGAGAGTACGTTCGCCATAACCACGCGGAAAAGGACTATACCATATGTGGTGGAGCGATGCAGGCCCGGATATCCTTGATGATGGACGGCTTCCCTAAGGTCGATGCATACCTCTCGCCCCTCGGCAAAAAGAGCTAGCACTCTGGCAGGTGACTGCAAAACAAGCGATGTTCAATCCTTCCTTGTGAATAATAGGAACCCATCTTCATGAGATGCCCAACATGTCCGAGCGGTTTCTATTCGAGCGAAAGGATCTAAGGGACAGAGTCCACATTTACGATAGCCAGGAGGCAATAAGGCCGTTCTGTGGGCTAGAGGCCTATGGCATCAAATCACCTCATGGAATGGATCAAAAATGTCTCCAGCCAGGTAGACCCTGGCTCGCATCATAATTGTGCTGATCGGGCAAGGTGCCCGGCGAAACAACACTGTCACACTATATCTTCAGCATGCAGAACTCGAGTTTCTGTTCAACGCTTAAATGAATGATACCCTTTTACTATTCCTGAGAACTTTGACAGTGCATCTGCCTGGTATGCTGTGCGAATGGAGTTCGATTCGATCTCTTTCAATCCAAACAACCCTCGGAAGCAACACAATGATAGCTCGCATCGATAGATGGCTCGCGGGAACAGATACCTGACATCTTCGCCATTGCTGAAGTAAAACCAAAAGATTGGAATCGAAACAAATGGCCTGAACTTCTATGGCAGGAAACAGGAGAGATGGTATCCTGCCACTCGTGAGTGATTCCAATTACACTGTCAAATACATACTTGTGTGTGCTTACTAAACTTTATAGACGCCTCCTTCCAAGTTTATTTCACAGAGCAACCATGGAACCTGGCTAGTTGGAGCTAACCGGCGAAGAAACTCATGCTCCGGTCGAGCATTTACCCTAAGTGACAGGTGATCGTCGACTTGGTCGAGAATCATAAAATTACCCTAGGCCTCTTCTTACTTTAAGTCCAGGTGACAAAGAAACGGATGATCCGGTCACTTTCTTCCCGATATGATCAAGAGCTTTGTGGAGGGGCGCCGGATTGCCCGGGACTCCTCGAATGGAAGTTGTAACCAGCTGAATTGTTCTCGAATACATTCTCTTAGTTTTGAAGTAATAACTCGGTCCATCGAGTGATACCATCCATAGTAGCTTGTAGCAAACCTCAGATTAGCGACCCAAGCATAAGCCAAAAGAACATCTTTGATGAACCACCTATCCTCTGGCAAGTGAGGTCAGATCATACTGCTGAAACTGTCTTTTATCTCTACATCTAAGCTTACTGTTCATAAATATCCAAGAATATGGCCCGTGGGACATTGAGATTGCGTATAGTATGGAGAACCTGTGGAAGACACTTGTCATGTTGTCAGTTCTGAGATGGAATGCGAAGAAGGAAGGTAATATAGAATATTGAAGCTTTCTCGGTTACGTCTTTACTGGTGGTAGCTCATCAATGACAGCTTATAGATGTTATTTTACGCCGAACTATGGATAGCTGCTCGTGATAGTAGTTGATGGTATTCCCTCCTGCCCAGATGGGCTATCTAGCTAAAAATGACCGCTGCTTAGGTGGTCGAGGCATATGACTCTGGCTTCTTGCCACCCGCGATGGTCAGCCTATCTAGCTAATCTTGGTAACAATCTGGCGATGTTACGGAAGAAATAAGAAAAGGGGCCCCTAGGCCAAATGATATCATTGATCGACTAAAGTTGCAGTTCAAGTTCCGTCAGGTAGAAGCCTTCCTGCTTTCCACCACCATGTCCATCCTTTCGGTATATCGTAAATCTCCTCGTATCTTCCAGATCTCCCATAGCAATTACGCTGAGTCCCACAAGTCCCAAGGGACATCCGAAGTCAATCGGCGGTCTTCGATGTAGTTGATGATGATTTGGGAGAGAAAATCAACGAGTGCGTCGGTTTCTTCGGTGGTCAGAACCAATTCCGGGACCAGCGATGCAAGGGTTGTTTCGTAGAAATTACCCATCACAAAGTTGGCCATGCTAGTGCTGCCTATGTTTATTTGAATATTAACATCGCTGCCAAGCAAGACCTGCAAGTCGAGAGTCTATGCCACATGTTTCGGCTATATTGGCCGACCTCCGCTGCAGTGGAGATGCTTTCTCCTATGAGAATGGCGGAGGAAGGACTCAGAAATTAGAACGCGAGGGTACTCAACTTACTGGGTAGCGAAGGGGAGCCGCCAGCCAGAGTGATGGCAAGAGGGGCGGCCTTCTTAGCGGCGGGAGGGGCGGACTGGGAGGCGGAGGCGGCGCGGACAGAAGCTTCTACTCGCGAGATATTAGCATTGATCCTAGTGGATAGGGTTGCACATTAATAATATATCGACAGATGCTAACCGGCGGCCACAGGCCCAGCCTCCGCAGCAGACTGGAGGGCTTTCTCTGCCTTCTTCGCTGAATGCAATGTCAGTATCTCTATTTCTCTCTTTTGGCATGTAGGAGATGAATTGATCCAGTTCTCGTAATATGGGCCGAGACCGTGAGACTTACCCCTAATCTTTTTTCCCCCGCGGGTGCGCTGAGGCTTTGCCACTTTATTCGCCTATATAACGCATCAGTTTATCTCCTCATCATTAGACCATCTCAGTGATCAATCACTCACAGTGGCGGGGGCGGCGGGGGCCACGGTGGACTGGGCCCAGTTGTCAGTTGAGGGCATGGGAATGGGATAGCGCACGAGACACAAGAGAAGATGAGACCTACAGGAGTTGCTTTTCTCTTAGGCAAGTAGAAGATCACAAAAGACAAGATGAAAAAGGTTCAGATAGAGAATGCCTTCGGTTACCAATTAAGAGAAGAGGAAGAAAAAGAAAAGGGAAAGAGCCCCAGGAGGGAGGAGCACGCCTAAGGCAAGAGCACACTAACACACTACTTCTAGGGCTGCTAGTATGCCCATCTGAGAGGATTATTTCTCACTTTGTAGTCACTTCGTAGTTCACTCACTGATCAAATATTGATCACAATGATTTGCATGAAACCCATATTCATTGGGCAATTCAATCAGAGACTCGTACTAACATATAACCCTCGAGGCTGAGTGTATCTCAGACTATTCCTCCTCTCTCCTCCATCAATATGTCCCGCACATCCATATAGTCCTCATCATCCTTATCCAAAACAAAATCCTCCTGTAGTTTATCAAGGATCTCCAGCACATAATCCTGGCAGTCCCACTGAACAGTCTCGTTGTCCACGGGCACGGTTTGCGCAGCATTCTTTACTCTCTCAACATCGTCCTCTCCAAGCACAGCAATGAAGATCTGGCGTAAGAAAGTGCTTGATTCCTTTGGATTTTCCATAAACGTATTGCGTTTGAATTTTGGATGCTCGCCATCAACCTCGAGAATGTGATGCTCTTCGCCTTTCTCTATATGCAACGCCCAGTGTATGAAGTTTCCGTACCGCGGTTGGTAGAACACAACAAAGAGCTTTGGGGACATTCTATTTTCTTGGCTCGGCATCTTAGCTCTGTGCGTTCCAATTATTTCACCAGTTTCTCCTACCTTAAGCTGTTATGCTTCCACAAACTGTAGAGAATGGGTATGGGCGCAGGTAGACAATGCTATGTTGGATTCGATAGGGATTGACCGAGGGAAAAGAAGAATGGTGCTTGGTCCAATCATGCATGGTTGCCTAATGCACATGCCTGATGCATCAGGCTATCAATCAGCCAGTTTAGTTGTAGATAAAGGCCTTGATAGTATTAATCCTCGTTAGAGATCAAATGAATTGGAAGATCCCATGAAACGCCATATAATGTACACCCCCGAAACGCCACATATAAACATTGAAGTGATATCAACCAAAGAGATACTTCTGCCAGCTCTGTTTCCAAGGTTTCCAGGTTCCTCCAAACCGATGGTTGATACAAGCATGCTGGCTATTGAACCCCTCCGACCCAGAATGCCGCTGTCCATTGCCCCAGGCATTGACAGGTAGAACACACAGGCCTCCCAGCAGCTTTCCAGACTTGGCTTCGGGGCCCTCAACACAGAGCGGCTCCTTAATTCCGTGGAAAGGCGCCCATGTCACACGCTGTATAGACGAAGCCGAGGACGAGAACTTAGCATCCGCATCCACAGATTGCTTAACTAAGCGATGTGTAGATGGCAATGTATCCGATAGCACATCAAGAACGGCATCTGTAAACACGCCCGGCCCGGTAATCTCCAGCGTATCCATTTCGTTGTATCTCCCACTCCTCCAGAAATGACTCCCGTCGACTCGACGCTTTGTATGGGACAGCACACGAACGATGATCTCTCTCAGCAGCGGACTGAACCGTCGTGGTGCATACATCGTGTACTGGATGAAACCGTAGCGTCGGGCCCAATGCCAGTCGCGCATCTTCTGCGGCGAAGCAAAGGGCTCGTCGATCTCAATTCCGACAATTAGCGAGACATTCGCGTTGACAGTGTTATCTTTGAAAATGGAGTCGCGCAGTGATGGGCAGGATTTGATGCTTCGTGCGGGATAGACGTCGAGATCTGCATAGTAGCCGCCGTAGTACCATAGAATCAAGTAGCGGAGGAGATCGCCCCGGTGGACGGAGTGTGGGTATGATTTGTAAAGCCGGGCGATCTCTGGGATGGATTCGAGAGTCTCAAAAATGAATTTGTCAGCCCAGTCGGCTTGTACGAGCTATGAATTGTAAAGTTAGTCGCTGTGGTTCAAGCTGGTATTTAATTACCAAAATATAAAATGTTTCTTATCGGTCTTACCTTGTATTTCCATTCTGAGTTCTTTTGCTCGAATTGGACTGAATCGTCGCTTCGCTGGCTGACGCCTGGTAGCATAATCTGCCACAGAGTGTCTGTCGCATCTTCATCGTGGCGCATTTCCCTTTCTATCTCCATGGCGCGTAGCGCATTGGAAAGCTTAATTTCGTATTCATAGTCTGGATCCGCGCGAAACGTAGACCGGTGAAGATATCGTGGTCGGCTTTCTCCGTATGACTTCTCTGCGCGGGGGTCTAGCCTGGATGTTGGGATGGGCACGGATTTGAAAAGAATGAAAAGAGTCAGAATCGCAGCCACCAGGACATATTTATGCCGGTTTGGAAATCCAAGAAACGTGCGACTCCTCATGGTGAGTGGTGAGAGGACTAGCCATAACAAAGATAAGAGATGGTAGAGGGGGTGAATTTTCTTTGGGCTGTCAGACTTAGCCCCCAAACAGACCTCGGGAAGGCTTCGTCTCATTGGTTTCAGCTGATTGGTGTAACTGCGATGGACCCTGGATAGTGGGTTAGGGGAGTTTCACTTGTGTTAATCGCGACATTAGGGGTGATAGGGGTAGAGATGACTCTGAATAGATATTATCATTCTTGTCTGTGATTTCAGGTTCATCATATTCAATTTTAAGAAAGTGAGTAGAACATTGGGAGAACATTTAATGAACATTCCTGGTGATTTTAATTGTGGGGTTGACTGTGGATGCCTTGGCACCGCCTTGGCAATCTTAATCAGGAACTATGGAGCGATAACGCACGAGAGCTCTAGAAAAGCTTAGCTATGCTTCCTTGCCTAAGTGTATATAGCATCATATGTATACATGCATTTTGTTTTGTTTTAATAGATTTAGAATACCTGTGGATCCCTTAATTATTACTATTCTCTGAATTCCTTTGGCAAACGTAGCCTTGATTCTTGATCAGTTTGATAATCTTCGATTCTCATCCTCAACAACCAAATCACGTAAAAACTTCCAACTTCGAAATCACGTGCCACACCAGCTAAGCAACAGAGTTGTTGACATCGGGCAAATGTCGCTGACCTCTCTTCCCCTTCAACTAACCTTCAGCCCCAGTTGTATCACACCATATGTGAGCTCTTCCATAAGGAAGATAGCAAGACCTCTACGGGTACGTGACCTCCAATAAACGAAATATGAGACGAGTATCAACTTACAATCTTATTTAGTACTATGGCAAACAATACAACCAGCGGCGCAGGTGCGCTCCCGAGACAAGTCGCAAGACAAATTCGGCAGAACCAAACCCGAGGACGTTCAGCAGGACGACCCGGCGTATCAAACTCTCAGAGCAGCGCCTACCGAGCAACCCAATACCACAGTCCTATCAGGCCTGGTATGGGCAGCAGCCGCTACGCCACTGTGCAAGATGAAGAGGAAGATCCCGATCTCATGGAGCTTGATCCGATGGAAATTGACACCCCTCCCAGCCAAGAGCCTGCACCAGTCACCACCGGGACTCGCACCAACGAGCAATATGAGGATAATGGCATCCACCGCCACATCTTCTACGTCCCAATTCGATCTCGCCCCATGCCGACTCTTGACCTCGACGTTCTGACCGCCGCTCGCGCTGAAATTACTCACATTCAAAGAGCAGGAATTCCTGTCCTGCAAACCTTGCCTGAGCGACCTGGACCCCATGTCTACATTCGTGTTGATACTGACCGGGCGAACCGTGATCATGCCCTCACTGATGCCAATCTTCGGATGGGTACCATGCAAGATATGATTCGGGATGGCCTCGGCTGGTTCTCAGGTTTGCCTTACCGCCACCCGCATTTCGAAGTCAAGTTCCTTCGTGGTCGACGTCTCTAGATTGAGACTTTATGAATGCATGGGTCTCTCAGCTTTGTGAAACCCTTTTTCAAGGTCAGAAGCGGGATTGATGAGCTTAATGTGGAGGATTTCGTTGAGAGGGATTGAGGCACTTTGACAACTGATGTGTTCTTGGGTGAGCAAGATGCATTAGTTAGGTCTTTTTTCTGTTGTTCCGTTTCCTTTTTTACATCCAGATAACCACAAATACTATTCTTATTGATTTTACTCCATCCATGGATCATATAAACCTTCTCACCTAGCATAGAAAATCAAGAATAAAGTATCAAGTGATGCATTCCAGTATGTCCCACAAACCTAACTAATTAACTTCGAGTGATCCCAAACGCCATAGCTTCATAGCTTCTAGAACGCTATGACAAACTCCAGCAATGCAACCCCCACCCAATCCCATCAAGGGCAAAATGCCAACCTTCAATCATCCACTGGACGCAACGCTAATGTAGTCTCACCATTCTCACACCCCTGCCAAGCCCGTTCAACGGCCTGGATAGTAGACCAGACCTGCTCACGAGCATCCTTCCGACTGACACCTTCCTCGAGCAATTTCTCATAGGGCGTATGGACATGTCGAATATGCGCCTCAACAGCCAAGAGCGTCTTTTTCTCGTCACTTATCATCGCTGTACGCCCTACACGCCCCGATCCCTTAAGGAAGGCATGCTCCAGGACGATCTTGAGGGATTCCTTGGGCATAAGTGGGAACTCGTTCTTCAGGAGTTCTCGGGATTTGGACAGATCCCTGGCATCGCGTACTTGCACGGCATTGGCGCGTGATTCTTTTGTTTCGGCGGCTGATTCGAGAACTTCTGTGTAGATTTCTTTGGGCACTCGGATTCCCAGGGTTCTTTTTCCCGTGCGGTTCTGGGACTGTTAGGGGTTCCACCCTTGGCTTGAAACTGATGCTTTGGGTGAGGATAAGGACTTACGTAGACGACATAGACAATTCGCTCGGACTCTTTGGTCTTACTGCGGCAGTGTCGAGTGATGTAGACATCGCCCTTGGGGACTAGAACGTAGCCATTTGGCAAGGGCACTTGCTCAACAATGTTCTGGCTACATGTTTAGCGGATTGTTCTTGAATACTGATACAATTCAAACTCACCTTTTCAAGAGGATCGTCAGAAACAGGAATGAGGCCTGTCCATGTTTTCTTGGGTTTACGACGCTTCTTCGTCTCGTTGAGTACTTCGGCGAGCGGTTGGACTGGCGAGCCTGCATCTGCCGGGCGTGCATGACCTTCGCGAGTGCGGATACCACGGTTCTTCTTTCTCACTCGTGGCTTGCGTTTGCGGACTTTAGGTTTAGTGGTTGGTGCCATGTTGAGTGTTCATGGAGCCAAGGAGGTTGATGAGTTGATGGTTGAGACGGTGTTGAGATGCCACTCACACATCGATTCCATTGAGGGAGACGTTTTGGAAGTACTGAGATCTGATTGCCATTCAATGTTATTTTTGGAACCTAAAACACCACTTTGGGGTCTTTGATACTTCCACTGTTTACCGTCAAAGCAGATCAGGAACGGTGGCTGTGGCTGTGTGGCTGTGTGGAGCCTAACTTTGATGCCTGAATAATCAGGCCTGAAATATGCGCCTACAAGGGTTTGTCTTTCTACAACACATGGAGTACTAAATATAAGAAATTAGTTGTCATTAGATTATGATACTTCAATATTGCAACATAATTCAACTACTACAAAATATAGATAAGGGGTTTCTGGTCCCCACTTTAGAACCCAGCTATTACTGTTTTAGGCGAACTTGATACATCTGCTCTCCAAAAGTACAAGTACAAAGTAGGTTCCCGATTTATTGTCGTTGATCCCAGATCAGATGTTAATGGATTGGTCAAACGTGGTGATATCACACATGAGATCAGCATAAACTGGAGAACCGATTATCCGGGGCTCATTGGTCAGATCCATCACCCTAGAGACAGGTTCTATGGAATAAGATTAGGATCATCGGATCTCCAGATTGTGAGATCGGAGTTGAGTTTTGGTTTATAGGCCCAATTCAAGACACTTTCCGATGTACTCCGTATATGGTGTGGAGTACCAATAATCCATGTACCTCCGTACTCCGTACTCCGTATAGAGAATTCTAATAAGAATCAAGGCAAAGGCAAAGCGAGTACGGGGAAGCGTGTGGAGCACGGAGTAAGTAATATAATCTTCGGGCACAAAGAAACGCTAAGAGGGTTTGCTAGGGGCTTAGCTCTCCCAACCCTGATTACCCCAGTTGAACACGGGGGATGAATTTTCCCCCTTTCATCCACGAGGGGGTTCTGCTCGAGGACATCCGCATAATCTGATGTTCTAAAGCTATGAAGCTCCAATTTTGGCTTTTTCATACAAAATACAACATTGTACAAAGTGCAAAGTGCAAAGTGCAAAGTACAAAGTACAAGGTATATCGCAGGAGGCTCCACCACTCATGTCGTCATTGGTGAGATTTGTCCCCTTTGATCTGACTGCCTAGAAGAGCTGAACCGGTATCCCCGACGGCTCTTGTCCTTATGGAGTACTGTTGTAGGTCTAGATCGACAGACAAGGGAAAAGTCTGACTTTTCAAGGCTGATAACTGAACTCAGTAAACTGAACACCGAAGGTATGATTCATATTCTGTTCCTGCATGAAGCATAACATAAGTACTTCTAGATGTCGTATGTTGTACATACTCCATAACCAAGTCGAACATCGGAACATGAAAAAGCTGTGGATCAGTGGATTCTGTTAGAAATAGAAAAAAGCCGAGTCCCCACGTAAAGAAATAAAAACATAAAAAAACAAATAAAAAAAGAGAATTTTCTTTTGAGCGAAGGGGAAGGGAAAAAAAAAGAAACCGACAAACAGAGCAAAAGGAAAACATCTCTCTCTCCGCTCCGACTCTCCTTCCAATACTCCTCTTTATAACTCTACACACACACACAATATGAATTAACTAATGACCTTACTGGCTATCTCCAATCTCTGTCATTCTCAATCAATTAAAGTTGCCTGGCAGCTTGATCTTCAATGGTTACTGGGTCTGTGTTGCTGACATGAGTTGGGATCACCCTGTCCACAGGTATGCATTCTCCCTTGACAGAACCCCTTGTGGGGGTATCACATTGTAGTCTTCTATTCTTTTTTTTTTACCAATCTATACTCTATATGCCTATGTGAAAAAGACGCTCATGGATTCGTTTATGTTCAGCTTCAGCTATCCCAACGGTGAACCTCAAACTCCGACGAGGACTCCGAACACCTTCGACTCGTTTCACACCCCAAAACTCGAATCCAGCTTTTTTGACCCTCGGGTGACTTGGGATACCTCCGATCCATATGCCTCTAGCCCGGAGCTCCTACGCACACCGCAGAAGTTTGGTCTAGGCTCGTCGAACTCACTGAAAGGTCACAATGGGGAGACTACTGGTTACAGGGGGAGGTCCTCGGACCAGACCGATACGGCCAGACGCATTCGCTCGGTAAAGCCTCTGCCGAGTATGGGCGAGGATTACCCTCGGGCAGTGGGATCGGCCAAGTCAGCAGCCTCGATGCAAACCCCGCCGCCGACAAGTGCATCGAGACGAAAAATCCCCGAATTTGACCAGCCCGATGGAAATTCACAAGGAGCAACGCCAGGTATGGGAGGCCATTTGGAAACGCCCAGTCGTCTTCTTGGAGCGTCCCCTCGGATGTTTGGCAACCTCCAATCGTCCCCTGATCTTTTTCAATTGGCTTCATTGGACCCCACGGGCTCGCCTTTCTTCCCACAGCAACGACTATTCTGGGATCATGATCTAGACAATACAACGAGTGAGGTTCCATTACCCAGCAACGGGAGCCATTTCAATACTCGTCAAACTTCTGCCTTTACGAACACACATCACATCCCCCAGTTACCAACCATTAGTGGTTCACTTGATCTTCCCGACTTTGGCAATGGTTTTGGAATTTCAGCACCACCACCCACTGATGCTGCCCTATTTCCTGCGCCATTCTCTACCTCTCCCCGGCTCCCGATTACCAAGGCTGAGGATCCAGCTCTATTTCTCAGCTCCCCTGCTCGGAGATTTGGAGGCCCTCAACTTACACCAGAGACACGGTCACTTCGTGGCCTTCGACAGCCCTACCATCACCAGGCAGAAGAGTCAAGGCGGGAGGAGCTTATCCGTCTGCAGGCACCAAATGGCCACCGATCCGATCCTTTCACTGCCTTCCCGAGCGAGAGCGACGAGGAAGATGACGACTACACACCGAGGGGAATACGACCAGGTCTCACCCGTAGTCTGACCCATAACGGCCTGTCTAGCTCATCCCGGCAATTCAGTCAAACCGGGGGTTTGATGGCATCCACCAGCGGGATCCGAAAGAGTCCATGTAAAGGGCGTTCGTCCCCAGCGAAACCAATGCGTCCAGCCCCCTTGACACGATCTAGTTCGACGGCCACCGGCTCCTTGACGCGCTCATCATCTGTGGTGCTTCGCATCGGTCGAGACGGCCGTGCAAAGGCTGAAATGGAGCCCCTCAGTGAGGCACCCACAGGGTTGACCGATCCCCTGACCGGGCTTGATCTAGATGGCTCTATAACCGAGAGTGAATCAGATCCGGCTGAGTTCTCGGAATATCCTGTGTTGCATCGTGCTCAGTCGTCCTTTTCACTTTATGACAGCTCTAGGCGTCCACTATCCCGGAGTGATTCAGGCTCCCGGCCTCCTTCAAAGGGCTCTTATGCTTCCACCGTCGGCTCTTCACACTCGGGTCGGATGTCACCCTGGGCTGGCTCTTCTAGGGGAGGCGGGCGCGCAGCCTATCGTGGATCTCCTGATATTAAGCGGACACCCAAACAGCATTCGTCTCTGCTTCACTCGGACTCGACCTATACTCGGAGTAGCGCAGCATCAGACTTGTTGCCCGGGGAAGAAGACGAAAGTGGTGATGCTCAATCTGCACTCCGGCAAGTACTTAAAGAACGCGGCCGGGGCCCAAGACCCGCCACAAATGCGTTTAGTAACCGACTCTCTCGGTCATCACACACCTTTACTCATCTCCGCTCATCACCACCCCGCCTTGGCAGTGATTTTGACATACATCCCCGCCACAATGCTTCTCCCACGACCCTGACCGACCCCGACCTGGCAACCCCCAGCACAGATCGTCACAGCAACCCCAGCAACGGTACACGATGTGTTTGCCGCTCAATGGACAACGGTGGCCATCTCATGATTCAATGGTGAGTCCCAGTGTCCATCGGCCTTGATTCCAAAGTTGATTGTACTAACTTTCCCAGTGAATCGTGTACACACTGGCTTCATACCAGATGCGTCGGATTGGAGCGTGCAAATCTGCCCTCCGTCTATGTCTGCGTCTTTTGTGCGCAGACGCCATCCCGCCAAAACCGTGCCCGAACAACTTATGTTCCCACGGGACAAGCCCCTCCCTCTCCCTTGGCCCACAAGTCATTCCGCTTCCGTTAACCCCGGTGCGTCGACTACCGTCTTGGATGCATATATGTCTTAGAAAGACCGGTGCTTCTTGATTTCTTTTGTGTGATTCTTCCCCCAACCGGGCTCTTTTATACTCTGCATTAGCCGGGCCACCCTGCCCCATCTCATAATCCTTCTGAGACCTCATTACCCCTTTATGATACCTATGTACTATTCCCCTCACAAACCTGGACAACCCCAGAATAGAATCGTTTCTATACTTCTCCGCACATTTTTTTCTTATCGGTATTGTAGCCTGCAGAACCCCCCGCATATCGGGGTAGCGAACCGGTCTCGGGAGAGGAGCCGGCCCGGGTGCCTACCTAACTCCAAGAAGACCCGACTTATAGTTATATAATATCCCATCGATTCCTGTTCCTTAATCGATCTCTCGGTTTTACACCCCCTATCCTCCTAGGTGACCGAACCTCGCCGTGTTTGGAGTAAGCCCTTCACAAAAAACCTTATCAGGTACCAGACATTGTATAGATCTGGCTACGATCTGATTGGTCAACCCACACTTATCGGCTCACCGCCCTTTTTATCGAAAAACCGCTTTTCTCCCCGCGGAGTCACAGTGCCTCCCTGTTTTTTTTGCGCGCCACTCACTCTCTTTGGTCTCATTCCAGTCGTTTTTGCTTCGCCATTCACTCACTGCAATGTCTGCCTCTCTCCCTGGTAGCCGGGACCCTCCCCCGTCGCAATATGACCTGAAGACTTATTGGGGTCGCGTGCGCCACGCCGCCGACATTTCTGATCCTCGGTAAGTTCAGAAAGAAGAGATTGGTCCCACTGAGAGGGTTGCCCAGTTTATACTAATCATGCCCACCATATTAGGACCCTGTTCGTTTCGTCTGCTGGTCTTGAAGGCGCCAAAAGCCTCATTGCTTCGTACAAGCAGAACCGCATCCCGGTCATGACACCGGAGTTGTGGTCGGCGAAGAAGGTGGTCGATGCGACATTGCACCCTGGTATGAGCTCCTTGAATATCATAATATAGCCATTGGCTAACTCAGATCCGATCAGATACCGGAACGCCCGTTTTCTTGCCCTTCCGCATGTCGTGCTACGTGCTTACGAACTTGGTCGTCACAGCAGGCATGTTGACCCCAGGACTGCAGGTGAGCACCTCTATACGCATATCCAACCATACATATAAACACGATCCTGACGATATAGACAACCGGAACCCTCCTCTGGCAAATCGGTAACCAGTCCCTCAACGTCGCTGTCAACAACGCAAACGCAAACAAATCTACCCCCCTCTCCTTGTCGCAAATCGGCAAGTCATACCTCATGGCCGTCTCAGCATCCTGCTCCGTCGCTGTCGGTCTCAACGCCCTCGTCCCCCGCCTCAAGACCATCTCCCCAAACACCCGCCTCATCCTCTCCCGTCTCGTCCCCTTTGCCGCCGTCGCCTCCGCCTCCGCCCTGAACGTCTTCCTCATGCGCGGCGAGGAAATCCGCCAGGGTATTGACATCTACCCCGTCCTGTCAGACGCTGAGCGTGCCAAGCGTGAGCTCAACGAGGACGCAGAGCCAGTCCAGAGCATCGGAAAAAGCAAGAAGGCTGCTACCATTGCCGTCGGTGAGACGGCTATCTCCCGTGTTCTGAACGCTACGCCTATCATGGTCCTACCCCCGCTGATTCTCGTTCGTCTCGAGAAGACGAACTGGCTCCGCGCCCGCCCCCGCATGGTTACGCCTATTAACTTGGCGCTGATTCTGGGTACTTCCATCTTTGCACTCCCGCTTGCGCTCGCTGCGTTCCCCTCTCGCCAGGCTATTAGTGTCGATAGCCTTGAGGAGGAGTTCCGCGGTCGTGGTGGTGATCTCGGAATGGTGGAGTTCAATCGCGGAATGTAAGTTTTTGATCGTCGGTGTTTCGCAGCGTGCATATTACATTGTCTTTGCATAAGTCAGAGAATTATATAGACCCGTTTTTCCGTTATAAATGTCAATACTGTTTTCCCTTATAGACCATTCAATATAAAGCGGGTACTACTCTACCCTTCAGAATCCTCTCAGCCCGTTCTGCAATATTCAGCAATTCATCGTCTCCCCAACGCTGGCCCATCAGCTCCAACCCAACAGGAACACCAAGCACAGCAGATGCAGTCTTGGGGCTCTGCCCAGCTGTATTCCTCATGTTAGTTCAACACTCAACACCGAATAGAATCACCTACCAGGGATACAAATAGCAGGCCTCCCCGTCAGCGCAGCCAAAACACCATTCCGTCCAGACTGCTTCTTCGCACCAATCTTCACAGGGAGCTGTCTCTGGTGAGGATATACCAGCGCATCGATATCGTATCTATCGAAACATTGATTCACAGACTCTTTAAGAGTAGAAATATACTCCAATCGACTTCGATATGCCTCGCTCGTCAGTGAAAATGTCTCGGAATCCTCCAGTGCTGCAGAGAAAACGTGCGTCATGGCTTCTGGATCGAACTCCCCGCTCTGCGCAATAGATTCCAGGGATCTGTGAGGTGTTGATGAAACCAGTGGCGATTTCAGGAACTCGTCGAGATAATGCTTGAACTCGAAAGCCTGTGTATCCCCCTTCGAAAACAGAGTTCCATAACTCCAATCTGGATGACTGGATGGGGCAATAGATACCAAGGTGATATCCGCATCTTGTTCCTGTATCATATCCAACCTCGACCGGATAATATCCTGCACGATCTGGTTCTCGGCAATATACTCCGATTCCACACTTCCATCTGCATGCACCTCAGGCTGGAAATAAGCCTCCAACACCCCAATTCGAACTTGACGGCTACTCCGTACCCCTTCAGATGCCTCCACAGAATCCCCATTCCCCCTATCCGGCCCCTTCATAGCCCCATACAAAATCCTGGCATCCCCAACACTCCTCCCCATCGGCCCAGCCACATCCTGAGTCCGGGAAACAGGCACAATCCCAACACACGAAACCCTCCCCGTCGACGGTCTGAACCCGACAATCCCGCACGCAGACGCTGGCGACCGCAGCGAGTTCATCGTGTCTGTCCCGCACCCTGCGAGCCCGAAATTCGCCGCTAGCGCTGCGCCTGTCCCGCCAGAGGATCCGCTCGGCGTGCGGGTCTTGTCGTATGGGTTCAGCGTTTGTCCGCCGAGCGAGGAAAGGGTTATTCCTTGCAGGGCGAATTCGTGGAGGTTGGCTTTCGCTAGGATTATTGCTCCTGCAGTGCGTAGTTGCGAGACAACTTGGCTGTCGGCTTTTGTGTAAAGGTTTTCGAGGGCTCGAACGCCTGCGCTTGTTGGTAGATCGGTTGTGCTGTAGTTGTCTTTTAGGATTATGGGTACGCTGTGTAATGGTGGGTATGGTCTGTTGGTTTGGTTGAAGGTGAGTGTTTCGGTGGCTTTTTCTATGGCGGTTTCTAGGGCTGTGTTGTTTATGGTGATGAGGGCTTTGAGGGTGCCGTCGTGCTGCTTGATTGCTGAGAGATATTTGTTTACCAGCTCCGGGCCGATGGAGGGGTCTATACGGAGTAGTTCATGGAATTTGGCGATTGTCATCTCTTCGACTTGCCATGCTGGAGAGTCCATGGTGTTGAGTCATGGGTTGGATAGAGGGGGAATAGGTGTTGGAAGTTCCCCGGATGGTGTTCTGGTGATCGACGTATTCACGCACGCTATACATGGATCTGCAATTTGATTGACGGAGTGGAATCTTGCTAATGCATGTTTTGCCTTGAACTGGTAATGTTAATTGTAACGAACAAGTGACTCTGTAACTTCTGTATAGATGCATACCCCCTCAGTGGACACGGCTTCGGGTTATTCCGCTCCGATGTATACAAAAAGAAACCAAGACGAAAGAGTAGCAGAGTCATATACAGACCTGAGAAGGATTAGAAAGTTGAAACGAAAGAAACATATATACACACACCATACGGTTAACAAATGGACGCCACAAACAATCAAATGGTATAATCATCCAGACTTAGCCTAAACCCTCCAGGGCTCCCAAAGCCGGATTCCATAAACAGGACGAGAAAGCAGAATAACATGTAACCAGCGCCTTTAAGAATGGGATAGAAGGATAGATAAAGCAAATAAAGTAAAACCGGAGAGCATCAGGGGATAGGTCCCTCAAGGATACATGCAGTGATTCCGGTTGCTCAAGGGTCAAGGGTCAAGGGTCCAATGCCCGCTGCCATGTGGTGTCACAAAGACAGACGAAGCGTGCATGAGGTGACACCTGCAGGAGTCGACGGGGGAAACCCCCAGGAACCGAAAAGAAATTAAAAAAGAAAAAGAAGAAACATCGTGATCATGATTTTCCGAAGTGCAAACACCATTCCGTCCCATTCGCGATAGAGAAAAAGATTACCCTCAAGATATGAGCCTTCTATCCATAGCTGGATCCTGTTCACGCCGGTGAATTCCCTCCTGATGTCGTTGAAAAAGCCGAATGTTGGCTACTGTAGCTGTGCAAACTGGACCTGAGGCCTAGGTGGTGCGTCCTTGGCGATGCAATCCTTGGCCGATCCGGTGAGCCTCCGTGCCATCGTCAACAAGTGTTTCCTTGAACCAGGGGTGCTTCAAGGCCTCCTTTGCAGTGATCCGGTTCTTGGGATCGTAGACAAAGATCTGTTGCAGCAAATCCAGGAATGAACGGTTGAATGGTGTGTTGGTAGGGATGAACTCCTATAGCAGACGAAATCAGTCAAAAGGAAGCCCCACAGGTAGAGAGATGCGGGACACTTACTGTCAAGGATTTCATCGCGCGCACATACTTCCGCGAGGCCCGGGTCGTTTCAGCATTGGGATAGTCGATCTTGCTTCGGTTAAAGTACCTGATAAAGTTAGGTTCTGTTATAGCAAGATTGAAAGGGGCCATATTTACTTAGAAGCAGAGTTGAGACTACCACCTCGGCCCGCCATGACTTTCTTCACCAAAGCCGTGTCGATTCGATTGCCAATGACGGATTCCATCATCGCCAGGTGTTCAAGGTTGTCATGTGTCTGGAACAGTGCATCTCCAGTGAAAAATTCCACCAGGATACACCCAATACTCCAGATATCACATGGGAAACTCCATCCCAGGTTCAATATGATTTCGGGGGCCCGGTAGTGACGGGTAGAGACGACAGATGAGTGGTATTCATCATCAAAGGTGGCCGAACCGAAGTCGATGAGTCGGATTTCACCATCAAGGAGAACGCGGCGCTGTCGCGCGTTGCGAGCTGTAGCGTGGGAAGAGGATGGTATAGTGCGGTTGTAAGTGAAGGTTTGATAGGCGTTGCTGACGAGGAGGATGTTTTCGGGTTTGAGGTCGGTATGGATAAGATTTAGGTCATGAAGGACTGATAGGTTAGTAGTCTGATATATGGATATATATGTGGAAAACCTACAGGCAACACTTGTGAACAGCTGCCGGGCAAACTGCTGGATCTGACTGCTTGGGAATGGCACGAACCCATTCCCCTTGAGGAAATCAAATACGCTTTGTCCTAGTAGATCAGTGACAATGCAAATGTGATTCCGGAAGTCAAAGCAGTCCCGAAGGTGGATGCATTTGTTGCGGTTGGTTTTGTCATTCGAAGCCAGAGTTGATAGGACTCGCAGCTCGATTCGAGACGCATCGCGATACTTTTGAATCGAGCGTATAATTTTGACCGCACAGCGAGCCTTGCGCTGCTTATCATAAGCTTCGACAACTTTGCCGAATGTACCTTGACCTAGAAGTTTGATCACAGAGTCTATCAAGGGGAGTTAGCATAGTCAACTTAATACCGGAGATAGTTCTTTTCACTCACATCGATCTGTCAATGGCGTGTCGGGTGTGACAATGTAATGGCCATCATCATCGTCAAACTTCTTGTTTTGAGAACTGGTGTACTGCTCGGGCAAATTTTGTCAGTGGATTTGCACAAAAAGAGATGGCAAAGATAAAATACTCACATCACGAACGACCGGCACAGGGACATCCTTTGCTTTGATGGGCGGCTTCGGAGGTGGGACATAACTCAGGAAAGCATCACCTGCAGTCTCCAACTCTCGTCGCTTCTGTTCGTCGCGGGTGGATTTTCGAGTGGCGCGTTTCCGCTTTTGACCGATAGAACCATCCTCGTAGTATACACCATTGCTTGCTCCCGAACTGCCCTGTGAGCCAAGCGAAGTCGGAGCTGTTGTGTGTAAGGATGCAGTTCGATCGGTCGATAAGGACGTGGCGGAGGATTCCTCGCCGTAATGTTGGGGATTGATTGAAAATGACGGGCGGTCATAGTGACCCAGGTCATAGGCAGTTTCAATCCCCGTCCGCCGCCTCTTTCCAGCGGGCTGAGGAGCCGCAGGAGCTGGTCTGGCAGATGCAGTTGCAGGAGGAGCAGGGTCACCATTCGATGGCTCTGGACCGGGACTGTCGTCGATCACAATGACTTCTTTAGGAAGGCCATTCTTGTAGAACTCGGTCCAGTCTGGTTTCTTTCTCCGACCGCCAACGGAGGGAGCCACGCTGGAGCCACTCTGGTGGGTCATAGCCGACGGAGTTGTTGTCGCGGGGGGGATTCTCGGAGGTTGGGTGTAGGGAAGGGTTGTCGTTGTCGGAGAGGGGACAGAAATGGCGTAGGGGTTCGCGAGGCGAGTTCCTGCGGCTGCGGTCGAAGTCGGGTAGGAGTTATTCGGCTGATACGAAGGGTGGTGAGGATATCCGTAAGCCTGATGATGAGAAGGATGCGTGGCAGTGGCCGTGGACGGGGTGGACATTGTGCACGAAGGTATCCCGTCACACGAACGGTATCAAGGTGGTGAAGAGAAGATTGGTCTAATTTATGACCAATAGTTGATTTCGCGCGTCACTCTTCCTCGGTGGAGACAGGGATCTCAAGGCAGGACTAGCCAGCCAGAGAAGAACCAAGCCGACAGAGATTGAGGTTGACAAGTGTGTCCGGAAGGAGATCTCTGGGGAGACGTGAAGATGACGGGCTGAGGCGGTCGGGGAGGCAAGGTGGGAAAGACTGTTTTTTCAAATGCGTTGCATTTCCTCGACAATTTGAAGACAAGGAAGTGAAGCAAAGATCATTGGAGAACTTGGCGACATCTGTGGTAAACGAGGTGGGGAGGGAAGGGCCTGGAGGCAAAGATGAGTGATGATGGAAGAGTCGGAGAGTTGGGACCCGTTGCCGATCAACTTGGGATTTTGCATTTGGGGCCTATTAATTCTTAGGATCTTCTATAAAATTATCATTCGTTGCCTGAAATACTCTTAATTAATGTTATTGATATTTGAATTGAACTTTTTTGGACTCTATTTCAAGTCTTTAAGACATTAAATACCTATATTATACATTATTTGCCTATTCTATACATACGAAATAGAAAAACCTCAACCTAGAGGCGCATGGGCCTCTAGGGAGAAAAGGCGGGTTATTATCTCCTCATTCCAACACAGCCATGAATGTAATTAAAAGGATTTAAAGTCCTAGAGGGGCCTTGAGGGGCCTTGGGGGGGGGGCGCGCCACCGGAAATGGAGCATCGCGTCCAAGCCCTGGCTTAGCCGAATCCAATCCACAAGGAATGGAGAACTTCGATGGTCAAGAATATCGAGAATATCGAGAATATTGAGAATACCAAGATCCAAGAGTATATCAAACATTAAAACCCACAGCAAATCCCGGGAAATCCCAGGAAATCGCCGATATCAGGACTCTCTCCTCCCGTATACCACCTGACATTCCAACTGAGTCAGCATCGAGATTAGGAAACACGCAAGCGCATTGCGTATAGGTATAGGTATAATAGATAATCAAACTAAAAACCGATGGGGTAGTCGTCAATGGGCTGTTGGATATAAGAGGAAGGGAAAACAATTGAGAGACAAGGGTTGTATAGAGATCATAGAAAATGTCAATATATATCAACTGAATAAAACCTCAGATAATCTATACAAAGAATACCTACATAGTCATTGCCTATAAGCTTACTACTAGATTAATGCAAGAATTATGAATTATCGAGTAAGAGATATCTAAAAGTCAGGCAATTCCAAAGTAAACCCAAGTAGATCTGTAGATACTGGTGTATACAAATGCACTGCCGCTTTTATGAGGGCGCTTAGGCGCGCGTTATGGCCATACAACATAGGACGTAGGAAAGGAATTAAAAAGTCTCCTTCTATTTTCTAATTAAGAGCGGATCGCTCTCAAAGTCTCAGATATCTAAGCAGATTGTTTCCTAACCTAAGTGATGAAGATATTCACTCGTCTTCTCTCCAAGCGTCTTTTACTCTATATATGTTCAATATCCTATTCTAACACTTCGAATATATCTCCTAGCTTCGTGAGGCATTACACTAACTATGGACCAAGAAGGCGGTATCAACGATAACACAAATTGAACCCTCCCACTGCGACTTTCTTTGTCTGACGGAATCGATGTCTGACTTTCAATGGAAATGGAGCTGAAGACGACCTTGGAAGTGGTGGTGCTCTCAAGTAGCTCATCGCCGCGTGACGACGGGCAGAGCAATTGGCGCCATTGGTTCTGAGTACCGTTTCTAAAGTACAGTACGGCGTATTTGTTGAAGGATAAGCAACTTGCCTTAGCGTCTCAGGAGCGTCGCTTCGCAGACAGCCATGACCAGCACTAGCTTGGTGCTTTCCCTTCCACATCTCAAACCCCCGTCGAAATCGTGATTTTCAACCCACCCTTCCATCAGAATGTCAGAAACACTCATTTCATATACGTCGTACAACTCATCTTCCAACAAAGCGACGATTCTCCTTATCCATGGCGGCTTCTCCGATGGCCAGGAGTGGGACGTTGTGTGGCCACTTCTCGTCGCCCAGGGCTACCATGTACTAATTCCCGACCTCCCTGCCCATGGACGATCGCTTGAGACCAAACCTCTAGAAATCAACGACGCCGCTCGTCGTCTTGCAGATCTGATCGAAGCCCAAACGCATGAGCGAATAGCTCATGTAGTCGCTATGAGTATTGGCGCGCATATCGCCGCTGCTATGGCCGCGCAGTATCCTGAGCGTATCCAAACTTTGACCCTTTCTGGGTTTAACCTCTTTACGCAAAACCTTGTCTCTCCTATATTGCCATACCTAGTCTACGCTGCGCAGCGGACTAGCGGATTCGTACAAAAGCCGACTGTGGAATGGGAGCGGTTCCATAGCGGGAAAGGGTCTTTATCTACAACGTGCGATATCTTCAGTATACTGTTTTCATCACGAGATTTGCAGCCTATCACAGCCCGGTCATTGGTGGTAGCCGCAACGAGAGAAGGACTTGGCGCCGATAATGTTGACCATTCTCGCCGACTGTTCGAGACGATGTCCGACAACGGGAGTAGGCTGGTGCAGCACCGGGGAATGCGTCATCCGTGGAACGCGGATGAACCACAGCTCTTTGCGGATTTGGTGATGAGCTGGATCATAGGCGGAGATTTACCAGATGGCTTCGAGCCGATTACTTGACTTGCTCTCCGAGTTGACATTTACAGGGCATATTCAATATCACGAAGGATAGCCAGACACATGTAGCAATTCGAGAGAGTTAGATTATTCATTGAACAAACTTGAAATCCAGGTTGTTCGAGGAATTTGAGCTCCAAACAATTTGTATTGCCGAAACTAGATATTTTAACTTAGTAACTTGATAACTAACTATATCTAGACCGACCTAGCGTGTGGTCGTGAGAACTAGAAAGCAGCGATCCTGATCAGGAAGAAGAAAGAGTCTCTCCAAAAGATCTATAATACTTATTTATCACCCTACTAGTACGTATGGCTAAGGGGAAACATATCCAAAAGCGACGAGAGAGGGATAATCCATCGAGGTACAAGAAAGTTCCTAGTTCGGCTATCCTCTCACAAAAGATGTACGCTCATCCTAAAGTTGAATGGAATTAAAGATCATGGCCTGACAACCTGACAACCCCCATAAGCCAGCCAACGCCACCATACACACGCAGAGAATGCAAGAACTCCTGATGCCCGAAGCCATAGGGCTCCCATGGGCCAATAAAGAAATTAGGGACACAAGAAAATAAGATTACAAACATTTATGATCCGGTTAGTTCGATCCTTAGTTTCGATCCCGATCCTCTTTGGGGTCCTTCAGGTAACCCCTCTGCACATGTCGGGTCGCCCGTCCATCCGCTTCCAGCATGAACAAAACATCTCTGACCTGAATACCCAACCCCTTCTCTTGATCTTCACGCCATATTCCGAGGCGCCGCTGAGTCTGACTGGGGGTGGATTCACCGGCACCGGACTTTTCAGGACCGGCGGTGGGTGTGGAAGGAGTCGGACGTGAGGGAGACGAGAATCCACTGGATTTACCACCGGGCTTCAACCACGAGTACGACTTTTTGGCGCCGAACATACTGCGACCACCCCCGGACAAAGCCATGCGGGCCGTCTCCACAGACTGTGCATGCTGCTGGGCTTCCGTTGCTTTGGAGTCCTGCATTTTCTTCGCTTCTTTCTTGCTCACTGACTTTTTGTCGAGCGTAGGCGCCCTTTCGCCGAGGGGTGTCGAGGGTGCAGATCCTATTGGATCTACAGACTCGGCTCGAACAGCCTCATCGAGAATGGCATTGCTGTTGCGTTTAGCACGCTTTGCTGCGCGTCTTTCCTCTTGTGAACTCTCTCGGTGGATGAATGCTCTGTATCTTGCCGCATTCGACTTTGTGCTGGAGGATTCCATGGTAGCATGAGGACCTGCCAAATTCATTAGTATCAAGTCAGTTGAGTAGGAATGATGAGCAGAATCGTACGTTTCACAGGGGTCTGGATGCCCCCCGTAGCCTGCCCAAGGGGTTTCGCGACATCTTTCCACTCATTGGGAACTACGCCGTGAGAATGGGCTCGGCGACTACGAGCAAGAGTCGAGGCGTAGTCGATGACGCCCCTGAATCTTTCTTCGGTGGAAATAGATAGAAGATTCAGTATGTCCACGAGAGGGGCACCTTCTTGGTTGAGAATTGTCTGACCAGTGCGCACCACAGAAGAGCCATCTGGACCAGTAACTTCGATCGGCTGTGGACGGCCAGGTACTGGATGAAAAAGGCCCTCCGAAGGAATCCGAACACCAAGGTCGAAGCCTCGCTTCTGGAGCTTCTGCTCGAGGAGTTTTGTGATCAAGAATGGCTCTTGGATGTGATACTGTGCTCGCCTTGCTGCGATGGTGTCCTCGCGGGTCGGTTCATTAGGGTCTTTGAAGGGGACATGTGCCTGAGATGATGGACCGGTGAACGAGTCGTGCGTAGTCGCCGGTTTGATTTGAGGCAAATCACCGAAGCTGGTTGAAGCCGAGGGAGTTCCCGGGGTGGAGCCTTGAGACGTGAAAGAGGTGTTGATAGGTGGCGGGTATTGGGACTGTGGTCCTCGATGGGAAGGCTGCGCCTGCGCATTCTGCCCTGAAAAGCTCTGTGTGAGAAATGCTTCCTCTTCTCTCACATCAATTCCAGATGACGCTAGGACATCTGTCAGCTCAGCAGCATCTGTTGTTTTGTCCACTGGGCGAGAAGGAGGACCCATGGTCCCAGGAGGAGCGGGGGCAGGCGTCGTCGACATGTTCATATTCATGCTCATATTCATCGGTGCTCCGTTCATTGGAGAGGGATTTTGTGGTAGTTGAACCGCGTTGAAGCTCGGAGAACCGTAAGGAGACTGGGTTTGAGAAGGTGGCAGAGGAGAGAGGCGAGGTCGTTTGGATGGAGGGGGGGCAACGCCTCCATTCACAGGAGATGCTACCGAGTTTGGGGATGGGGACGAGACAGGTGGGGAGAAAGGTTGCGAGGAAAACTGTGGCGGCGGGGGTGCCTGCTGCTGTGGATGCCGAGCTTGTGCCATTGTGACTGCCGATTGAGGGCAAAATTGAACTTTGAATGAGATAAAGGCTATTGCGCCGAGCCGTCGTAGCCTAGATGAATCGAGGTCCACGCGTGGCCGTTAAACTGAGCGGATTGCTCGCACCACCAGCTTCCACCACCTTTGACCATCTCAATATTGAATTCAAACCATATACGCGACACAGAAACCGTAAAATAGTTGACTCGAGCGCGAAAGTAACAGTAATCGGGGAGACAGTGATGCGTGATGTGGTAAGGAGCTTTCTAGGTGGTCGAACTCTGCTCCGCGGATCGCGGATCGCGACACACGTGACTGAGCTTGACTAAGCTCTCCAAATCTGCGGGTGTCCAGGTGAGGTTTCGTCTGCTGCGAATGAAATCACTCTTCTATTGAATCACATCCAGTCTTCAAAAGTGCATTGACTGTCTGCTTTAATACCTGCAGCAGCTGAATTTCTCATAGCCTTTGTTGCGCAAGTCATGGGTGTTGCGCTGAGCTCATATTGATATCCTGGGCTTTATCGTGCGACGCGGGTGCTAGTACCCTTCAACTAGCCTTCTCAAACTCATTCTCAGAAATCTGTCATTCCCCTGACAACTTACCCAATTAGTTCTTGACACCATGGCCTCCAAGCGTAAAGCTTCAGCAATGGGAACAGCCGTTGACGATGAGCCCGTTGACCCATCAGACGAACTGGCATTCTACTGTCTCGGCGGCGGTAATGAAGTTGGACGGAGTTGCCACATCCTGGAATATAAGGGCAAGACAGTGATGGTAAGTCTCAGCTGGAATGAATAATGGAGTCGCAGATACTGACCTCCTTGGCTTCTCTAGCTCGATGCGGGCATGCACCCGGCGAAAGAAGGCTTCTCCGCACTTCCTTTCTTTGATGAATTCGATCTGAGCACAGTGGACGTTCTTTTAATCAGCCAGTACGTGCATCTTTTGTTTTATTTACAAATTATATGGAATCATGGCAAGCACGACTGGAGATCATTCTACACTTACCCATATGAGGCACCTGGGTTATTTGGCAGTCTACTGTCTCAGCTGCCTCAGTGGAAGAACACATTCCCCTGCATATATATGAGAAGCCCAATACAATTCAATGTCATGCATATATTTCTTCTATCACTGTACCCTTTGAGTCTCGAATTCGAGTGCTTTCTCCTGCGCGTTTGTTCATGGTTATCGCAGTTGACTAACAGTATGATTTGTATAGTTTCCACGTTGACCATTCTTCCGCCCTCCCATATGTTCTCAGCAAGACAAATTTCAAAGGAAGAGTCTTCATGACTCCAGCAACCCGAGCAATCTACAAATGGCTTATTCAAGACAATGTCCGAGTCAGCAACACATCCTCTTCCTCTGATCAACGCACTACATTATACACTGAGCGTGATCACCTGTCAACGCTTCCCATGATTGAAACCATCGACTTTTACACAACACATACGATCAATGGCATCCGTATTACACCGTACCCCGCCGGGCATGTTCTCGGAGCTGCCATGTTTAAAATTGATATTGCAGGACTTGTGACTTTGTTTACAGGAGGTGAGTTTTACTTATTACACCCTTTGTGACCTACATCAATACCAGGCAGATTGCTAATCAACCGGCTAGACTACTCTCGCGAGGAAGACAGACACTTGATTCCTGCCGCCGTGCCCAGCGGCACGAAGATCGATGTTCTCATCACGGAATCTACATTCGGCATTTCATCCAATCCACCTCGATTGGAACGCGAGGCGGCCTTGATGAAATCAATCACAAGCGTTCTCAACCGCGGAGGTCGAGTTCTGATGCCCGTTTTCGCTCTTGGACGTGCCCAAGAGCTGCTTCTTATCCTTGATGAATATTGGGAAACCCACCCAGAACTCCAGAAATTTCCTATCTACTATATCGGAAACATGGCACGACGATGCATGGTCGTGTACCAAACATATATTGGTGCCATGAACGATAATATAAAGCGACTCTTTCGGCAGCGCATGGCCGAGGCCGAGGCTAGCGGCAATAAGAGCGTTAGTGTCGGACCATGGGATTTCCGATTCGTTCGAAGTCTCCGCAGCTTGGAGCGTTTCGACGATGTTGGAGGATGCGTCATGCTTGCCTCCCCCGGTATGTTGCAGACAGGAACAAGTCGTGAGCTGCTGGAAAGATGGGCACCCAGTGATCGCAACGGCGTTGTCATGACCGGTTACAGTGTTGAAGGAACTATGGCTAAGGGATTGCTCAATGAACCTGATCAAATCCCGGCTGTCATGTCCAAGGTTTCCACTGGGCATGGTCGTGGTCGTGTTCCCGGAGTGAATGATGAGGATCAAAAGGTCATGATCCCTCGCCGTTGCACTGTTGACGAGGTCAGCTTTGCAGCCCACGTCGATGGCGTGGAAAATCGTACTTTCATTGAGGAGGTAGCAGCACCAGTTGTGGTAAGTGTGACATCCACCCAACCTATTTGAAATTTACTGACTCCCCCAAGATCCTAGTTCACGGCGAAAAACATCAGATGATGAGGCTGAAGTCGAAACTGCTTAGCCTTAACGCAGATAAGGCGGTGAAAGTCAAAGTCTACACCCCAGCAAACTGCGACGAAGTTCGCATCCCTTTCAAAAAAGACAAGATTGCCAAGGTCGTCGGCAAGCTCGCAGAGCTTGCGCCTCCATCGGAGAATGATGATGCCCAACTCATGGCTGGAGTCCTAGTTCAAAATGGGTTCAACTTATCGTTGATGGCACCTGACGACTTACAGGAGTACGCGGGCTTGACAACTACGACTATTACTTGCAAGCAGCATATCACTCTGAGCTCCGCGAGTATGGACTTGATCCGATGGGCCCTCGAGGGAACTTTTGGAGCCATTGAAGAAATTGGAAACACCAAGAAGACTGAGCCCAACGGCAAGAGCAAAATGGATACCGATGACACCTCAAAGCAAGAGGATGCTGATGAGGAGATTCCATCGGATGAGACACAGACATTCCTAGTTATGGGATGTGTGTATCTTCGCCATCACTCACGCACCCGCGAAGTTGAGTTGGAATGGGAAGGCAATATGATGAACGACGGAGTGGCGGATGCAGTTATGGCTGTTCTTCTCACAGTTGAAAGCAGCCCAGCCTCCGTAAAGCGTATGAATCCCTATCCTTTTTCGCCTTTTTACTTATGCTAATCACTACGGTTCTAGAATCTGCCAAAAACAAGCACCACCATCATCACCATGACGATGATGACACGGAAATACCCTCACTTCCGAACCCTCATTCTCAGTCTGGACCCCAAGAGCGGCTTGCTCGTATGCTGATGATGCTCGAGGCCCAGTTCGGCGGCGACAACATTGGCCCTATTGAGCGCCCCCGAGTCCCCGCTGATCTCGCACTCGGCCCACAAGAAGATGGCGAAGAGATGAACGAAGAACGAATTGCCGAAATCGAGGCTGCGGAGCTGGATCGTCTTATCACAATGGGTGTTCCCGTCCCTGGCATTGAGATCAGGGTGGACAAGCATATTGCCCGTGTGTGGCTTGAGGATCTGGAAGTCGAGTGTGCAAACCCTGTACTGCGAGACCGCATTCGTGTAGTCGTCGAGCGGGCCATTGAGACTGTGGCTGGACTGTGGGCGGAGAGCTCGATTCATCAGGACGCGGCGCTTAGCGGCTCTGCCAACGGGCCGAAAGGGATTGAAATGGCGGATAGGAAGAAAGCGGCTGCCATTGAGGCTCATGCTTGATCTCATGTACTTGTATAATAATGAAATATCCCAGCATTCACATTACTTGACTTCACTTTTCTACATCTGCTTCGTCATTTAATGTGTCTTCCGGTAGTTCTTTTTCTAACAAAATGAAATTGATTAAATAATTGCACATTTTAAGCACATTTTAAGGCTATGCAAGTGGATTTTTGAAGAGTGGACTTTACAGGGTAGCAAAAACCTCCTTCAGAACTTTCTCCAGCGTATCAACAATGATATCAATCTCCTCTTTCGACACAATATAAGGCGGCGCGAGTATAAGATGATCTCCTTTAGTTCCATCCACGGTACCAGAGCAGCCATATAGCGAGATACTGTGCTCCGGCTCTAGACCCTTCTCCTGGATCCGGTAGCATAGACGATCCTTGGGGTCAAATGGCTCTTTCGTGGCTTTGTCTTGGACAAATTCAAGCTGAAAAGAGTTAGTAACATGTCTCTTTTGTTGGTCGTGCAATATCGAATACAGGAACATGGAACTTACACCCCAGAACAATCCTTTCCCGCGAATATCTCCCACGTAAGGATGACTCTCGAACCGCTGCTTCAACTGTGTCTCAAGGTAAGCACCCATGGTCCGCACATTTTCCACGAGAGACTGTTCCTGGATAGTTTTTTGTACTGCAAACGCAGCAGCACACGAGATAGGATGGCCTTGGTATGTCTGTCCGTGGCGGAACTGCCCGGTGCCTTTATCCATTGTTTGCACAATGGAGTCATTAATCAAGATGGCCGACACAGGCGCGTATCCACCACCCAGACCCTTTGCAATGGTCTGGATATCGGGAACAATATCCTCTTGCTCCCAAGCATGCAAGGTCCCGGAACGGCCCATGCCGCTCATAATCTCGTCAAGAATCAAGAGAGCGCCGTGCTTCTCGCAAACGGCTTTCATTGCACGGAAGTACCCTGGTACTGCGGGGACACAGCCGAGAGCCTAATGAGTATAGGTCAAAATGATGTGGTAATCTAGATTTTAAGATGGGAAGTCATACCGCACCAACAACCGGCTCTGCAATAAATGCGCACACAGTTTCGGGTCCGACACGTTGGAATTCAGCCTCTAGCTCGGCTGCCAGACGTGCCACATAGTCTGCATCAGACTCGCCCTCCCGCTTCCCACGGTATGCATAGCATGGGGACACATGGGATACGTTCTTGGAGAGAAGTGGTTCAAATGGTTCCCGACGCTGAACATGGCCACCAACTGAGAGGGCCCCCAGCGTGGTACCGTGGTAGGATGGAAGACGTGCAATGAACCTGGTACGCTCAGTTTGGGGAGTTGGAAGCTCCAAGAAATATTGGCGCGCTAGCTTAAGTGCAGCCTCGACAGCCTCAGACCCTGGATGGTGTCAGCACTGTATGTGGGGACTGAATTTTTAGTTCTCACAAGGGCTGCCTTGACTCACCTGAGCTGGTTATAAAGACCTTGGATAGTTTTCCTCCAGCAGAGTCAACTAGGAGTTTGGCAAGATCCTCGGCTACCTGAGTGCCGAAGAAGGCAGAATGACAGTAGGATATCTGATCCATCTGATCCTTGATGATCTGGGCGACCTGCTCGTTACCGTGCCCTAGACAAGATACAGCCGCGCCACCTGTGGCATCGAGAAATTTAGTCCCATCTTCCAGAAAGATGTAGCACCCCTTGCCACCAATGGCCTTCTTTGGGACAAAGCGTGTGTCTCGGTGGAGAATAGCACTAGTCTTGGTTTCTGGGAAGTATATCAGAATGAGGAAAATTCCAAGATATTGCATGCAATTGACATACCGTTGGTCATGATTGAAATTTAGAGAAATGTGATTGAAAGAAAGCAAGCTTGAAGAGACCAGGTAAAGCCTTATATAGCCGTGGATATCTGTTCGATGTTTCACCCGAGGCAATGGTCTGTCCTGCGGGGCTAAGTGGGTTCGGCATGCCGAAAGGAAGAAGCCGAGCCCTCTATTGGTCCGGGGGCGGGGGGACGGACCTTTGGCCGATTAGATTTCCTATCTGGTCTATCTGGTCTATCAGCGTTTGAAGAGAAAGCTTTAGATTGGTGATTGGCAATGACTCATGGATTGGGAATATATCTGGGAACGATATCATTATATATGTGCGTATTATAGGAATACAGTTGGCTATAGTTCGGTTTGGATTCCTTAATGGGATATTAATAAGATATTAATAGGACATTATATAGAGTATGTAGTTACTATTTTTTCATAATGATTGACGCAATGAGGTTTTCTTGTAGATTTAAGATTATTGTCTCAAATTATAGACATAATATACTATTTAATATCGACGTTCACTCAGTTGAACGTGGACCAGACATCCCCACGTCCCACCGCCCGCACACTCTACATTCTGCCCCTCTGACTTGGCCACAATTCCCGCGGCCTTCCCCAGACAACTCCCCATTCCACAAATTCAACCCTCCACAATGTCGCATCACGCCCAAATCGAGGAAGTCTCTGACTCCGACCCAGAAGAGATCGCCCCTTCTTACGACTCTGACGAGGACCTCCCCAGAAATGCCATCATCTCACCCGTAAATATCCCAAGCAAGGCTGCACCTCAACCCCAACAACAACAGATGCCCATGCCATCAATGCCGGTGCCTGAACCCCAGCGCGAGATTCCCCGACACTTCTCATGCTTGTACCCAGTGTACTTCGACAAGACCCGATCGCGCGCCGAGGGTCGCAAAGTCGGCGCGGAGCTCGCAGTGGAAAACCCTCTTGCGCGGGATATCGTTGATGCCGTCCAGATGCTTGGCTTAAATGCGGGATTGGAGCCTGAGAAGCTGCATCCTAAGGATTGGGCGAATCCCGGTCGTGTGCGTGTGCAGGTCAAGAACGAGGATGGCCAATTAGCCAACCCGAAGATCAAGAACAGTACGTGGTTGATACCTTTGATGGAGTGAATGGTTCTCTCTGCTGGATCTGAACTGACATTGCTGCTTAGAGCACCATCTCTATATTCTCGTCGCACAGTACCTGAAGGCTAACCCCACGACCGAAAAATCACCCTACCGGCTACGAATCCGTGGCCTGCCCATGCCTGAGAAGCTTCCAGCAGCTCCTGCTGCCCCACGGGGTTGGAAGATCGGAACGATCCTCCCTATCCATTCACCTGCCTACAGCGGTGGTGGTGTCAGTGACAACCCCCTCAAGGACGCAATGGCCGAGATGCAGGGTATGCAGGGCATGGAGGGAATGCCCAACATGTCGGAAATGATGAGTCAAATGGGCGGAATGGGCGGACTGAGCAATATGTTGGGTGGACTAGGTGGACTAGGGGGACTAGGGGGTATGGGTGGAATGGGCGGCGAGCCCTCAGGGGCAGGCGCGGAGAAGAAAAAGAAGGAAAAGAGGAAGGTGATCAGGGCATGATTTGGCATGTCCTTTATCCCGTGTTCCACTTGCATTGTATGGCGATGGGCGTTACTTTTTTCTCCCTAATTTTTGATGCACTCGAGAAAGGAATATTTCCTTGATACCACGGATTTGCATCTGAATTGATCTCATTGTATATCCCCGTCAAATCGTGTCCAACAGAAAGTATCTTGTACACATTCTACATTTTATAGACCCTCGTGGGTGTCGATAAGCTATTACGGAGCTACTAAGAAAGAATTTCCAAGTCAACGCTAGATGGAATATCAAGTTTTAGAAAACGCACAGGGCGAACCTGCATGTATGCTATGCAAGTTTTTGGTTGTCTTATTCCAAGGTCATAATTATGTGCTGAGAAGTAGAGAAGTACCTTTGGGCTATGCGAGCCACCATGAAACAAAGACCGGAAAATAGAAGGAAAACCTATGCGTGGCAATGCCTTCTTGACACAAACCGCCTGGGCAACTTAATTCGCAGGAGTCAAACGCACAAAGAGCGGCTTCTTCTCCCATAACTCATAGTTCTTTTGGTCTAGCCAATTATCATCGTTGTCAACCAGGCTGATATCAAATTCGAAGAGGATAGATGAAATGATAAGACGCATCTCGTGATATGCAAGGCTGGATGAAATATCAGAAAACCGTTCAAGTATATATAAGAACAGAGAACTCACTTTTTGCCCAGACAGTTTCTAGGGCCGAAAGAGAATGGCTGAAATACCGATTTCTGATCATCCTTGAATCGCTCGGCACCAGGAAGCCAACGCTCAGGTAAGAACTTCATAGGCTCAGTGAAATTCCTGGCTGAATGATAGGCTGCAAGATGGGGAATTCCAACTGTGACCTATAGATATAGCAACAGAGAAAGGTTAGTACATATCCCTGAACATATTCACAAATCTCGCGAGACACCAAAAACTTACACCTTCAGGAACCATCTTGTCACAGATGATTGCACCACCCTTGGGAACCAATCTCATACTTGCATCTGGAACTGGAGGATACATCCTGAGACCCTCATTGAGACAGGCGTTTAGGTATACTAATCGCTGCAATTTGGTAATAGTGAGACTTTCTCTATCCCCAAGCTCGCGGATTTCATCTTTGAGCTTCTGCAACACTTCTGGATTCTTGCAAAGTAGCCACGTCAAACCACTCAGGACAGTCGCTGTGGTCTCGGTTCCCGCGATCATGAATGTGCCCGCATTTGAGTACATCTCACCGTTGGAAATATCCTTGCCAGCATTTTTGATGACCAAACTCCAGATATCGGGTTTATCCGTTTTGAAACCCATACGACGATCGACCTTTTCATTGGTAAATCGGATGTGCTCCTGTCTTTTTTGCTTAATCGATTGGGGAAGAAGCATCCTAAAGAGGGATTCCAGGTTAAACCTCCGCATGGCATGGCTTAGACTAATGAATTTGACAGTTGCAAAAATCGATTGCACCCATGGGACATATTCACCATCTCTGAGCATATTCAGAGGTTCAGCAAAGGTTAGGTCTCCCATGATGTCGAAGGTGGCGAAGCTGTACAGCTTCACCATGTCAGCCTGTGCCCCTTTCGATGATGAATCAATCTTTTGCGCCGTGGCGATCATTCTCAGCCTCTTGACTAACATTTCGACATATTGATGGATCATTGATTCCTGCTCCTTCAAGGCCCTGTCGGAGAATGCATGAGAAAATACCCGTCTCTGACGACCGTGACTACCATCATCTGAGCGCATAATTCCCTCTGAGCCAGGAGGATTAGGGCCCAGTTGAACGGGATCTTTAGGGAAACTTGGTTTGCCTCCGGTCCGATGTCCAAAAATGTCTTTCCATGCCTGACTCTTGATATAACTCAGTTCGTTGGGTGAGATTCGAACGATTGGACCGTACTCTTCATGAAGTGCCGGGATTACCTTGGCCCCCAGACCACGGACACGATAGTAGTAGATGGTGAATGTGGATGCTGAAAAGAGTTTTGGCCCGGGATAGTCTCGTAGTGGATGAAATAGTAGATTGTAAATGACATTCCACAGCGGGTAGCCAACGACCTGTATGATAAAAGTATCAACTTCGGTTAGCGAGATGTTTCTACTCCATTGTCGGGGTTGACTTGCAAACAGCAAAATGGCCACGCCATATTTGTACAACTTAGGGTTTTCTTCCATGATAAATCCACAAAGAAAACCTCTGTAGCTTGATATAGGACAAAGTAAAAGATTCAACAGGTTAAAGTTCCATTGGATGTTTCAAAAAACGGCGAGACTTTATATATTCTATGAGACTAAATCTACAGTAGAAAATACACCCGCCATAAATTGGGTTTTAACAAAACAATGCATGTTAACAAGGGTCACATAGGGCACGAAGCGTCTAATGCAATCGAGTTAGACCAAAATAGTTCACCCGACTCCGAACATGGAGGTGTTAACTCGAACTACATGCTCGTGGACTTTTGCTTTCATTTTTTGCAGGTCATCCAATATCTGACTGTCAAAGCCAAGATTTAAAAGGGTTAAATTTTGAAATAGCCTACTTGACTGGGAGGTCGCCTGCTTTGTGAATGTGTAGGTGCGTGCTTTATACACTTACCCAAATTATACAGACCAGAAAAGAGATCGAAGTAAGGAGTATCGGAATCATTAGGGGCTCGCATATACCTGAAGTCAAGTCGACCATACAACATACGGCATGTGGATAGCTCGAATAGGGAGATCACCGCTAAGAATTTATGTTGTACTAGTAGTTTTTCAGTAGTTTATAGGGGCTATTATTACCTGGTGACTCCCGAGGTAATTGAGATAGATCGCCTTATGACTACCAGGTCTAGGTCATACTCCCTAGCTTATGCGTACTTGTGGTGTCTACCTAGCTGGTCTTTTTTAATGTCTTTTTAGATGTACTGTACCCACCTTCTCAGTTTTATGCATAGACCACAGGAGAAGACGGAGAATGGCTTAATTTTTGAAATGGACTTTTGTATACCCTTGGATGATGTGTTATTTTTCTGGCCTAGTGACCTGTCAACCCGATTATTACTAGCCAAAAAAATCTGTATGAATTAAAAACTGGGGCCTTTCTGAAGAGGCGGGTTAATGTTGATAATTACCGGGCACCCAAGTCTCTGAGGTACATCCTACCCAACATAGAGTCTGTGAAAGGGACTATGCATGTACTGGTTTAGGCAGTGCTGATTTGAGTCCGCAGGGCTGGGTCTAGCAGGAATTATCCAAGGGGGAGCAAAGAAAAACATATCATATGCACATGCGAGGGGTGAATTTGTGCCAAAGTAGCTAAAAATAGCCGTTTTCGCGGGTGTCACTATTATGCCGTGCCTCTGTCTCTTTCGGGCATCCTCCATTTCTATACTGCCAGAGCCGGCTGAAGTCCTTGACACGTAGTACTCGATCCACACCATTCGGCTGCGATCGTTGCAGGCTCAATTCGGCGGGGAGAAACGCCTCGTCTCGGGCTATAGTGGGTTGATATCTGACTCGATGTGGAGGGCCCGTATGTCCATTTATGCCGGCGGTTGCCCATGGTTCGACTTCCATATCCATGAATGGATTCGAGTCAAGTACTTTCATATCAGGGCCTAGGGTAAACATGTTGCTCAGGTAATGCATGTTGAGTAGATGGCCTGAATTCGGGCGCACAAACAGCCGGCCCATGTATCGATTTGGGATGTCCACGAAGTGGAGCACTCCCCCCAGAGCCACTATATCAGCTGCGTTGGCGTAATGCTCGATGTAGCCGATGGTTTGGCCAGATTGATGCACTAGATCAGGTGTTGAGATTCTTCGTGAACTTGCTGGTTTTGTCCATCGCGGGTTGTTGAAGTGATTTGCGGCATTCCCGAAGGTATATACCTCCAAGTTATGAAGAATATCGTGTGGTAACTCATCCAGAAGCCAGTCTACGACAAGTCCTCCTTCAATACCACCTTGGCTATGAAGAATCAGGACCACCTTGTCGCATTCTGGGTCCAAGAGAGCTTCCTTGACCAAGGCATAGGATTGTCGTATATCGTCAGTAGCGTATGAAAAATCACGTTGAATTAGACATTCGATGAGATCAAAGACAATGCCCGCACTAGTTCTCATTAGTGTTTGCAAATCGGAGATTCAAGACGCCACTTACGTCCGATTATGCACGCCCGTCACTTTCCGACCAAAGATGTATGACAGTTGATCGATGTTCATTTGTACCCAGTGATCCCTAGGGGTAATTCGAGTCAACAACTGAAACTAGGGAAACAGGGGGGTTTCTCTCCTACCCAGCTGCAATTCCATTTATATACAGCCAACGCTCCCGCTCATGACCTGGTTGCTCAACCACGGGCACTTGGGATACCAGAACCCGCTGGAAGCCGTTCAACATCAACATGATGATCGCATGGTTGATAGTGAAAGCAATAGCAGAATAAGCAAGGATCCATAGGCCTGGAAGCATACAGATAACCATAATCGGCAGCGAGAGCAGGAAAAAAAGTTGATAAACCACGAGAAATAGATGAATCAACACGGTAGCTCCATTGCGTAACGACGGATAGAGCTCGTCCAACTCACGGGTGCAACCTAGATGCAGGGGCAGTACGATTCCTGGAAGCGCCCATAGCTTCGAAACAAACAAGGACAAGTCGCTCCAGAGTAACTTGATGGGTGAGGCAGTGTAGGGCAAGGGAGTACCCTCCTTACCCGGACAAGTCATTGTGGAATGCGGCCGGGAGAAGAAGTGTAACGTTGAGATGAAAATCAAAATCAAAATCAAAATCAAAATCAAAACAAAAGAAGCAGCCTGGTCTTGTCATGTGATACCGCGCCTGCTTATATCTCGTGAGATCTATAGCTTGTGACTACATCGGCTGATTGATTTATAGAATGGACATTTTTTATTATACACGGTGTTTTGTTTTCTTTCATATTCAGTGATAGAATTAATGTTATTTTGGCATTCCTTTCTTGTTTTCTTCATTATGAAATGAAACCTATGTCTCCATCATCTCGCGAAGGAAACTGGGGCGAGGAATTTGCAGATACCGTGATTGATGTTCTGCTAATCGTCAAATCATGATTAGATATAGATCAATTAAATGGTAGAATGAGAAAGGAGAATACTAACGAATAAGGTGACGCCTTTTTCGACGATTATTGCCGCGAAAAAGATATCTTCGGTTGATCTTCATACCGGCATTGCGCATTTCACTTTGATGCCATTTTGCAATGACCTTGGCCGCGGCAGTAATTGAAACATCGCTGGGATTCCAGTATTCTGGGACACGTAGGGATAGACACCATTTGACATCGTGATGGACCGGTTCGGACGAAATGATACCGTCTCGGGCGTTGATGCGAGCCACAACAAGATCCATCAACTCTTCGTCGTTGTATTTGTGGTCAGCCCAGTTGAAGAAGACAGTCACCCATTGGTTTGCTCTAGTCGAATTGTATTGCTCGCGGATGTTTCGTCCGTTTGGATAATTGAACATTCCTCGAAGATTGTTGCGCTTCTTTGCTTTCTTTGTGACTCGAGAGGAGTGAATGGCTGAGGCTTTGTTTCCCATGGTGGAAATGTGTGATGTAGAGAGGTAGAGGTTGATAAGACGAAAAAGAAAGAAAGAAATGAGACTAAAGGATGAGACGATGAGACAGAGCAAGTCTAATATATTGAATAGGATAAAAATAACAAAGGCCATTGATGAGTTCATTAATAGCACAATTCATTGTGATGGTCGTAGACCGATCAATAGGATCATTCCCTTTGATGATCACGGAAATAAACACCAATAGGACACTGCAATAAAACTTTTGTTCTCTCTGAGGACTGAAAAGACATTGTTTACCGGAGTTTACATTATAATGAAAGCACATCGAGAACACCCCACCTCATTGAGAGTATATAAATATCCTTATGATGGAATTCTTCTCCCCGTGGAATATCAAGATCAAACCTAAACCCTTTACTCAGAACAGTAAAGCAGCTGTGTACAATATTTGTGACACGAGTGAACGAAGAGAATCCCGTGAATACATCCAATTCCAAACAAGTATCAAGTATCACCTGGAACTGACATCCAAACCCCATATTGCTTTTGTTTAGGACAAGCATATATCATCCGAAGTCTATCACAGGGCTACCACAACCAAATCGTCCCTTAAAGCCACGATAACCAAAATCAATGGGAAAAGATGGAGGGTGGTTCGAAGACAGACGAAACACAATCGGTAGACGTAGATCCCTTTTCTCAGGACCAAGAGACCACCGATTTGTCACTGATTTGAGAAGGGACGAACTAAAAAAGCTAACAGAGATACTGCACATAGACAACACAAGAGCAAGACATACTGACGAGGTCATCAAGCGTATGATCAATGAGCTACCAAAGAATATGCGCCGTGATCGCTGGTCAAGAACGAACAAGGATTTGTGTAATGCCCACCAGGGTCTGCATGCAGATCTCATCGCCGATGTGTTTAATCTTATCCAGAGAGAGGTCGGTCACCACCTTCGCAAGTTTGACGCATACCCGGACTTGCTGAAGCCTCTCGATATATTGATCCTGCACAAACTACAGGCTATACAGGGCATGTGGGAGAAACCTGCCCCGAATGACCAGGCTATCGCAGAAACATGGCACTATGAGATCAGCTGCTGTCAAGGGTGCATGGTGGCTCGGGTTGTGAGTGACAAGCATGCATTGCGCAATCTTCGAATCGCCCTGCTCTCTCGCACGCAGACTCGTTTGAACCATGTTCCACGCAGACTTATGAAATTCGTCGACACCTGTATTGACCTATTCCCCGATGACGTTGACGAGTTGTATGGCACATCCAGCCAGTTTGCATTCATCCTGAAGGATACCCGCAAGCTCTGCAATAAGGCTTGGTCCCAAGACCCAGCACATGCGGATTCGAGTCCCCCACAGCGAAGGCACACCGATCATGACAAGAGTGGCGAAAACAAAAAGAAGGGAAAGAGTGCACGTAGCCATAAACTGGCTAGTGAGTATAACCCGAGGAAGAAGTATCCCCAGCCACCACCACCAATCACATTATCCCACCCCGCGGAAAGGTATGTCCCCGGATCTTCCATCTCATCTCAATTTACTGACTCTGACACCGAAGGGCGCAGAATATATCGTCCGACATCGAGCCTCTCCCGGAAGGCTTCGAGATCATCGTACCATATGGAGCGAGACCGACGCTCGGACCCAAACCCAGACCGCATGACTAGATTCATGGACTTCGCTGATGACAACGATCAAGGCTTGGGAATAAGCATGGAAAGGCGGAGTGCAAGTACTGTATATGGACCTCCTGGAAATCCCCCGTCATCTACCACTGCAAGCACAGTCTTGGGAACGATTGAGGAAATCGACGAACTGCTTGAGATGTACAGGGGTATGGGGACAAATCCCTACCCGCGAAGCGCCCAACACTGCCCAATACATGAGAGTAGCGGCGTCCCATCATGTTGTCGCTCCCCGTCAATCTGCTCCACTGACAGTGAGTGGACTGATGAGGATGAAGACCGGAGAAAGCCGGAAAGTGGCCTAGCAGCGAGGACTACTTGGAATCTGGTGTGTGAACAGTCGAATATGATTTGATCTTGTCTCCTGATCACTTTCATTTCTTTGTCTTCGCATCCGTGTTGGTGCTCTGTTTCTTGTGTTCTTATGTTCTCATTTCCTTTTTGACATGTCCTTTTGTCCTTTTGTTTTTCTTTGTTGTACGTCAAAGTCTTTGAGGATAGTTGATGATATTTGCAAATGTATCGAGTGAACACCGAATACCCAAAGGAAAAAGTAAATGGCAAATAATAGACATTATTGACAGTAAGTCATAGAGCGAACCATGTACAAAGCATTGACTGGCGCATTCTGAAGTATTAATACATTGGGCCATTGATCCCATATACAAAAAATGACGGAAAGCCCCACGGTCTGGCGGAGACGGCCAGCAGCTCCAGGGACGGGGTTAGGGGATGCATAAAAAAATCAACACATGCTCGGGCTTCATTTCATCACGGCTTTAGTTGTGGAGAACACTTCCAGGAACCCCATGACTCGGGCCCTTGAGGCTATCAACAGTCTTTCGGCGCAGCCGAGTGCGGGTCGCAGGTCCCTCGGGTGATACCACTACCCGTTCGTGCTCACGTTCCTCGGTCACAGTGATAGTCGGCGGTGTAGTAAGCGCCTGCGCAGCATCCAGATCCACCTGCTTCTGGGCATTCTCTCGAGCTCGCTCGTAGCGCAGCTTGACCTCACCAGTCCACTGAGTGCCAAGAAGGCGGTCCCAGAAGATGAAGAAAGGCTGGGAGAAGTTGGTCTTGATACCCCAGCTTTGATGATGGATGTCGTGGTAGGCGGCGTTGTTGGAGGTAAAATGCTGCAGTGGATCCCAGGGGAAGGCATAGCCACAGTGATCGTCGACAGTTTTGATAGTCGACATTGTAAAGAACCACATGGCCTGGCGGGTGCTCATGCCGGAGACCAAGAATCCAATACCAGTGCCAGCCGTATCCAGGAGGAATCCCTCAAATGGGTGGTTGTAGAGGGCGCCGAAAGCATATGGAACGTAAAGACGGTGATGGCGGGAGTGGAAAGTCACTAATAGCTGGTTAGTATGGAACCATCAATCCACTTCGAAACGTCAGACATACCATAGAGCCACCGGTTCATATGCATAGCGCGGTGGAGGAAGTACTGCCAAGTATCCACAATGGAAATCGCTAGTATGAACTGGAGGGTCGGGACAAAGTACCAATATATGAAATTGGCAACTGCAAGTTCCCAGCTCGCGAACGCGGGCGCTACAGCCTTGACTCCGTTGTCGAGGGTTATGGACTGGGTCACCCCGGGGTATGATCCACCAGCCAAAGCTCCGGCCAACATGGTATAACCGCTTTGGGAGACAGATTTTCCAAGACTGATAGCATCAACGCCAACAAGAGCTAATAATGATGGAACAGCCTTTTGGGCGATTCGCAATCGTTGCGCCCACACGGCCACATCATATTCCTCTCTCCCAACAGTTTCCTCGGCATCAAAGTATACGAACGCAAGACCGGCCACGGTTTGAATCACCTGTTGTAAGACCACATCCCGTACAACTTCCCAGCGGGTCACTTTGTTTCGCTTCAGGACTTCTGCGGGGGTGTGAAGCCGGTATTCCACGAAGTAATCATTGACATCGAGGAAGTGATAGATCATGGACATGCCCCAGTAAGCGACAACGGGCAATATGAGCGAAAGAACATTGTCAGGAAGAGGAGCAAGCAAATTCTTTTGCGCGGTCAAGGTGTAGGTTGGTAGGGGAGGAAGGTCGAACGCGACGGATGCGTTCACAGCCATGACAGAAGACTGGCGGTGCGTTGAGTGTTTAGTAACACAAAGAATCCAAGAATGACGATCGAAGGGATCTCAGAATCAATATCTTGGATATTGAAAGATCCCGAGGTCAGAAATCAGGTAAAGAAAAGAGAGTGGATGTCCGCAATTGCCCACCACTCCGATGTCCGGATGTTGACGGGTAGGCGCGACACAGGATGATTCCGATCAGTCAGAGACCTCTCGGCGCTGACCGGGTACATACAAAAAGAAGTATGTAATAAGAAAAAGAAAAACAAAGAGAATCAATTAATGATGAAGGAAGGAATAGGAAATGCTCGCAGATAAAAGATAAACGTTCAGATCAGGAGACGCCCGGATTCGGGTGGCGCGAGCCGGAGTCAAGACAAATCAGGATACATGTATTGACGGTATTTTTGGATTTCATTGCCGGTAAGAGTACGCATATGCAGTATGGTATGGTATCACATCGTTTGATGCTGACTCAGTTCTATACTTCGACCTGGACAGCGTTGAAGGGAAGTAAATTGGTTGCAACAGTGAAAACAAATATCAATTGATCTTAATTAATCATTTTAGCTTGCTTGCATCTTTACAATTAAACATCTCTCAAGTTTATTAGTACTTATATATGCCCCTTTTTACCCCATCAATCGCATTGAACTTACGAAGTATCTTGAAGTACCAGATACTGCGCTAACACCGAGCCAGTGGCGGTGGCCCAGACTCCCTGATACCCAAGTGGTACAAACCGAACAAACACAAATCCCCCGCTCTATTTTTTTTTTTGAAAGAAAAACCTTGTCCCCCCACCTTGAAAGTGTTTCTCTTCCCTCCTGTGCCACCTTGCTTTTTTTTTACACCCTTCGTCTTCTTAACATATAATTTCGCCAAAATGCTTATCTACACTGTATGTTTGTCAAGATCAGATCCTTGTATTTACCCCTCTTCGCTAGGACAATTTCAACTGACAAACCCTACCAGGACATCGTTTCCGGTGACGAGATCGTCGCCGATACCTTTAACCTTGTCCCCAACAAGCAGTTCGATATTCTTTGGGAATGTGACTGCCGCAAGTACCTGAAGCGTGCCAACGAGGACTTCCAGCTCGAGGGCGCCAACCCCTCCGCTGAGGACGCCGAGGATGAGGGTGGCGAGGGTGAGGCCACTATGGTCCACGATATCGAGGACCAGTTCCGTCTCGTCTGGCTCAAGGTTGAGGATGGCGCGAAGCCCTCCAAGGACAGCTACAAGGCCCACATCAAGTGTATGCTCGCCCTACACTCTTTATTTGGTCTGCGCAAACACTGACCTTTGTTCTCTGATACAGCCTACCTCAAGAAGCTCCACAAGAATGCCGCCACCAAGTTCGCCGAGGAGAAGGACCCCAAGGCTGCTGAGGATGCATGGAAGACCAAGGCCGCCGGCGCTATGAAGAAGATCCTTGCCAACTGGGACAACTACGATGTTCTCATGGGCCAGTCCATGGACGGTGATGCCATGTATGTCCCCGTAGTATGACTTTCCCCTTTGGAACCTTAAAACTGACTGTCTCTAGGCACGTCCTGATTGACTTCCGCGAGGATGGTGTTACCCCCTACGCTACCGTCTGGGCTGACGGTCTCAAGGAGATCAAGGTTTAAACAACTCTTGTCATCCCGAAGAAGGCGATAGTCAAAACATACGCACCCTACACGAACAAATACGTCTTGTTGGAAGAATTGCGAGTTACAGCTCAGACGCAGCGGCTACTTATTCCCCTTCCCCGGGCCTGTCTGTTCTAATAACCCTCTCGCATTTTTTGTATCCCGAGTTAGAGGTCCATTGGATCCCCAAGAGTTACGCTTCATGAAATCATCTGTCATATCATGTCTTGCGTTTTTTTTTTTTTTTGGGCTTGTACTACGTAATCTGTCTTGAGTCTTATCGATCTAGTAACAGTCTTGGCATGAGACGAAAAAAAGTCATGACGAGACTCCTCGCCCCCATGTCCTTCCCCAAAAAGAGTAAAGCGACACCGATCATTATGTGAATGTATATATTTGGGGATTTGAGGGGCGTATCGCCTATAAGATATATCTACACTTGAGTGTATTAGGAATATCCTAGCCAATCTCCGGTATTGCCGTTCAATGACGGGAACATCCCGTCTGGGGAGGAGCCTGGAAGTGGAAGACTGTTGACATATGACGTAGACATGTCGATAGGACTAATGCCATTAAACGTTGAGGTAGTTCCAGCATGGGTGAAATCAAGACCCGAAACGGGATCCAATTCCATCAGATCATCTGCAACAGGAAGATGGCGTCCGAACACAGCGTCCCACTGATCCCAGTCGAAGTTGAGATTGGGGTCAACCATCGATGGCGGTGTAGGAACTCCAATGGGTAAAACATTAGGAGACACAGGGTTCATGAAGGACATGCCATCAGAAGCAGCAATACTCGGATCTGAGTGTTCAACATGTGGGGCGGGGACGGTGGACGCAGGGGATTGTGTCGGTGGAGGTGCACCAAACAAGGAGTCCGTATTGGGCAAGCAGGCCCCAGTGCGGGGAGGTATGGGATTATCGGCGGGGGTAGGATGGGATTGGGAATGTGAAATCAGGGGCAAGGGTTTATCCTGTGGTTGGTATTGGTGTCGCAAGGGACTTCGATTGGTATCCGGGGTGACAGGATTCGAGAACGTATGGGAGCGGGTGAGGTTGTAGAATGTTTTGACGAAATCGTTGTGTTGGTTGTGTGTTGAGGGATGGCCGGGCGATGCTGAACCTGGAGACCCGGCTTGGGAGGGATCCGAGCAAGGAGAAGCAGAATCCCCGCGAGAGTCAACCGACGAAGCGACCCCAGCCTGGATCTGGTCTTGTTCGGTCCAGAGCATTCGCGGATTGAGGCCAGCCTTTTGCCAAGCCTTCTGGCGAAGGCGGCGAATCATATCCCAGGCTTCACGGCCACCGTCCTTCAGTGGCCGTTGGGTTGAGACACCGTCTTCACCACCTACGACGCCCCCATCCGGACCAGAAAGTGCGAGAATGCTGTCGATGAACGCGCGGGACCTGGGTGCTTCAGGGCTGTAAGGTCGCTCATATAGGTCAATAAGCATAATCCTATATCTCATTAGCGTGGGTACCAACACCTGATGATGGAAATCATACATAGTAGCATGCATTGGTTGATGATTGCTAATACTAAATATTAGTTGTCTATGATTCTTGTCCACCATACTAGCGAAAAGACTTACCCAGGCCAGCTCCAGTG